ACAGTTCCCTCACTGTCCCTGACTGCGCTCTCTGCCTACACCTCCTCCTCCTCTCTTTTCTTTATGTCTCTCCTAATAAATCCTAATTGTTCTTGGTATCACAACCTCTCTCTATTGAAATGGTTTAGAGATCAGGGTCTGGCTGTGGGTCCTTTTCAGCTCATCACAGCCATGTGCTGCTGATTTCACAGAGCCATCAAGGCTGTTTGGTTGCCGCTGGATTTCATTTGTGAGAGTAAGGTGGTATCTCTGCCACAGAGGCGAGGAGGGAACGAAATAGAAAGCAGGATCTTTTGATCATATTCTCAGAGGAAATCTCTGATTCTGAGTGTCCTTGCATTCTCACTTTCCCCTTTCTTCATCTCTCACTGTGTTCACTGCAAAACACAAGATACATTTACTTAAAGCAAAACTGTTTATTATTATATTTAATATATTAAGCCTGGTTTTCAGAGAATATATTACGTTTATTGTCGTTATCCTAAATTTCTTTATATATAAAAAGGAACATCTTGGTTTCAGAGAACATATCTTGAAATAAGTTAATTGTTGTTATCCCATTGTCAATTTTATTTTATTTTATTTTAACCGTTTCTTAATTCTGCTATATGTATGCTTGTAAAAAAGAAATATCTAGTTTTGAGAAAATATGTTTAGAATTAAGTTTGTTTTTGGTATCTCATCTGCAAAACACAAGATACATTTACTTAAAGCAAAACTGTTTATTATTATATTTAATATATTAAGCCTGGTTTTCAGAGAATATATTAAGTTTATTGTCGTTATCCTAAATTTCTTTATATATAAAAAGGAACATCTTGGTTTCAGAGAACATATCTTGAAATAAGTTAATTGTTGTTATCCCATTGTCAATTTTATTTTATTTTATTTTAACCGTTTCTTAATTCTGCTATATGTATGCTTGTAAAAAAGAAATATCTAGTTTTGAGAAAATATGTTTAGAATTAAGTTTGTTTTTGGTATCTCATTGCACACTGTAGTTTTTATTGTTTTATTTTATTTTATTTTAACTATAATTACATTTTGTTAGATATATGCTAAAAAAGAAATGCCTAGGGCAGCAAAAACTTAATTCAAGATATATTCTCTGAAGCACATCTTAATATCTTTCATCTGTTTTGCTTCTCAAGTAAATATATCTTGTTTTTTCGGCTATTTTAGTGGAAAACAAGACCAGAATAATGATTAGGAAAATATTTTTTGCAGTGTGCTTTGAGAAACAGGCTTACAGTTTACAGAAAGAATGGTGAGCTATTTTCAAATGGATTATCCTCGGCATCTTGCAATCTCACGAGGATCAGTGCAATCTTGAACAGCAGCTCTCCTTTGCTACATAAAAGTCAAACTAGTGCAGATGTATTTTGCCATTGCTTTTAGGAGTGTTTCATGCAAGGTCCCCCATGCACGCAGGATTTGGAGAAATATTCCTGGTTCTGTGGCTGCAGCATCCATAAAGGCCTTAGAATAACACTACTAGATTGTTTTTGCTTCTTACACTCACTTTGAACAACAACAAAAAAAAGTTCTTGTTGCTCACATTCTCCCCTGTTTGTGGCCCTCGACACTTTCATATCTCAGAGAGTGGGTAATTTTAGATCCAGCGTAGTGCTGCATCATCCTCCCCTGTCTCGTTTTGGTCTATGGAAACGCTAGGGATAAGGTACGGAGGGGAAGATAAATAGAACAACACCTCTGCAGAATACTTCAAGCAGGAGGCCCAATGAACCATGCCGCTTTGTAATTATAATTAAAAAATAAAAATGATGGGTGATTTAGGACTGCCATGTGTGCTGGGTGGAAACTCAACCTCCCATTAAAGGCAGTGTGGCCCCATATAGGCGGTCTAGCGAAGGGGGTGCCAGCCAAAACTGGAATGATAATGAGGACATTGGCTCGCTTCAGAGAATTGGGGTGTAATTGAGTTAATGAATGCATTCTGTTGCATCTCTGATTGAGCGCATGTCCCTTCGCCACTTCCTTTAAGGTGTTCTGACTGTTCTGTGTGTGTGCATCGACGAGCTCACTTCCACATTCTCCTTCACCTGACATTGAGCCTTAAAGAAATAGTTAATGCAAGAATTAAAATGGTCATAATTTACTCTCCCTTATGTGTCTTCCATTGTGCCTCCCCTGTATTTTGACTTGATTTCTTCTGTGGAACACAAAAAAGTGAATTTTTGAATCATATCCTGATCACTTTTCTTAATATGAAAGTGAATAGGGTCTGGGAATGTCTTGTTTCAAAATGACAAAAATGGCACTAAAATAAACAAAAATACCCCCAAAGTTCAAAATAAAGCAGCAAAAACTGTGCCTATACTGTTGAATTAAATCTATTACAAATGTTGACATGATAAAACCAATTAAAAGTATGATCTCTGTTTCAGTGATTATAAGGACAGTTTTTGACAGAGTGCATAACTTGTGCAAGACTGAAGTCACGGGCCGCTTCAGTGATGGAGAATGTTCTTTTCTCACTTTCTGTGTATAAGTTATTAGCAGAGTTGGGACTTTCAAGTCACAAGCAAGTCTTCAAGTCATAGCCCAAGTCCTCAAAGAGTTAAAGTTAATGAGATAATTAAGTGACTAATTAAATGATGATTGAGCATTAGTGATGAACATCTGCTGTTATTGAGAATTACAGAGGATCAGATGTTGATGTTTTATTGGTTAAAATGATGGCACCATCATGGAGATCAGTGTTTGCTTTAGTTGGGCTCTTGACCCTTGTGTTAGATCCATCTTTATTGCAATGCATGAGGTGTTGTGACGCAGAGAGGTCAGTGCTATGCAGTGAGCAGCTATTAGCTGTTTTTATATGATGAGATAGTTATCATGAGCTTACCTGATTATTCTCAAAACATGTTATATGTTTAGGTTTTGCATAATCAACCCTGTGAAACTACAGCATGTAAGACAAAGTGCTGCTCTAACAGTTACTATGAATGAATTTTCAATCTTTGTAATCCATATAAAAATGTGATCTCCAGTGCTATTTAGACACACAGAGACATCAAGAACCAGCATATGAATCTCAACAATGGTGACAATCAACAAAATGCTTCATGCTGCAATGCATGCTGGGTAACACCATAGTAAAAACTCCCATCATGCACTGCAGTATGAATAATTATTGTCACCACTGTTGAGGATCATATGATAAGTGTTCATGTCTAAAAGCCTGAGTTGATACAGTTTTCTTTTTTTTCAATATTGAAGCATTACGGTGGTATTTGTTTAGTGGGACTTTTTTTTCTTTTTTCACAGTTCAGTAATATCTGTCAATAAACCAAAGAGAGACCACTTTATGCCGTTCATTCATCATGAATTATAGGCAGAAAGTCTAAGCTCATCTGCTACTTCAAGGTTTGATTCAGCAAATGCACAAATGTTTGCTGTGAAACAACATTGCAATCTCTTAGAAGCAAATTACTTTGAATTAGTATAAGGGTCAAGAGCCCAATTGAAGCAAACCTTGACCACAATTATGGTGGCATCGTGTGTTTGTGTGGTTTTTTGGGGGGGGGGTTCAGTTGATTTCATCTAAGGCTGTTGCTAAATTCAGATGTAGTTCTTGTGTTTCTCTTTTCTTCAGTGATGTTGATTATTAACAGCAGGTGTTCATCGCTAATGCTCAATCATCATTTAATTAGTTACTTAATTATCTCTTTAACTTTAACTCTTTGAGGACTTGGGATATGACTTGAAGACTTGCTTGTGACTTGAAAGTCCCACCTCTGGTTATTAGTAGTTTGAATAACCGTTTTGGTTTTCATGCTACCAATGTTGCTTTTCTAATGAGTAAAAAGTAATTAACCAATTAAAAAATTGCTTGTTTTCTCTGTGTATCCTATAAGAATGATGTTCCATTTCCCCAAACACAAAAAAATGTTTTATGTATTTTATTAATAATCATTATTACAGTGTAAAAAAATACTCAAAGTTGCTCATACAAAAGTAAAAAATGGCCCTGAAAATCAGTTCCGGGGGCAAATATTGCCCCTTAATGGAAAGTTCATTTCTGACCCTCCTCATGTGACCTTTGTTTGTTTATGTATTGTTCCAGGTCTTCTGTAGCCATATAAAAGTGATTTTGTATAGGATTTATTAGGAACAAGCGACATTTGAAATGTTAAATAGAACATTTTATGCACAAATCTGCACATTCATACTGTTGCAGTTAGTCATGAGATATGCAAGAACCAATGGAGATTGGCATCATTGCCAAAACTGGTACATGATTTGAAGTGCCATATTTGAATATATGCAAAAGCAAATCAAATTTGACAGCTATGAGTTTAAAGGGATAGTTCACCCAAAAATGAAAATTCTGTCATTAATTACTCACCCTCATGTTGTTCCAAACCCGTAAGACCTTCGTTCACATCTTAGGAACACAAATGAAGATATTTTTGATGAAAGCTGAGAGCTTTCTGACCCTGCATAGACAGCAACACAACTACCACGTTCAAGGCCCAGAAAGGTAGTAAGGACATCGTTAAAAAAGTCCATGACATCAGAGGTTCAACTGTAATTTTATGAAGCTATGAGAATATGTTAACAGTCTCCGCTGCACATTCACGAGAGTACCACGATAAATAGATCCACATAAATTGGTTATTTTTGTTTTCTTTGCACACAAAAAGTATTGTTGTAACTTCATTCAAATTTTTGGTTGAACTAACCCTTTAAGTGAATGCCCAATTACATTTTGGTCTGTTCCTCACACAAACTGTGTAGTTTCAGAAGACATGAAATCTAATACATTGGTGATACTTTCATTGTGCTTTTTGTTCATTTGGGAGCTTGACAGTCTATTGCCTTTGGAATGACTTGAGAGTAAGTAAATGACAGAAATCTCTTTTATGGGTGAACTATCCCTTTAAGGCTTCATGGTTGCTCTTTCATGTCATCGGATCTTCTGCTGCACATAGTTTGCTTAAAAGCTTAGTATAACTCTCAATGTGTTTCTCTTACAGATTGGTCAGTGGCATTCAGAGCAGGGACTGTCCATGGAGAGGAAGCTTCCATCACTTAACGTGACAGACACACTATTCAACACCACTCTCACCATAACTACCATCCTGGTAAGTCCTATCTTCTGCTCTGGTCCAGGTTCCTCAGTAGAGGACACACCCTACTGATTCAGCCAAGAGATTTACACACACCCCCTGGAAAGGATATATAGTTGCTCCTTTTTGAAAGAGTCTCTCTTTAGCTTCCAGAAACGGTCTGTCTAGTCTCTGATCACCTCAGGGTTCAGCACTGATCTAAATAAAGACTCTTCTCCTCTGAGATGAGTGGAAACTAACAAGTATGCGTGTGATAGCATTTCCTGGAGCAGCAACCACCAATTGAAGATGTAATCCACTAGGCTGTTATCTAGGGGCAATTTTCTCATCTTTTCGTACACTGTATAGTGATGAGAAAAAAGAGGCTCTCCGCAGCCTTAGGCCGGATGTCGCATATCTGGCTGGGTCATCCCTCACTAGAAAAGAGAGGGGAATAAAGAGACTGCAAATGAAGAGGGGCCATGCAAGGTGAATGAAGCGCTCGAAAGCCAATAAATAGCTGGTTTAAAGCAGCCGTGTTGAGGACGGATGGAGAAAAATTCTTCAGTTCAATTTACACCTGATGAATGATATGATAAGTATGAAGAACTGCTGAAAAGACAAGCATAGTCATGCTGTTTACCAGCTAAACTTACCGCTGGTCGACCAGCATGATGCTGCTTCAAGGAATATTCCAAGTTCTCTACAATTTAAGCTCAATCAACACCATTTGTAAAATAATGACTGAGACCCTTAAGCCCACACCAAGAACGATAACTATAAAGATAACATCTGTTTATTCTATTAAAATTTTAAATTTTAAGCTTTAAATTCTCAAGCTCATTATAGCAGGATTGATTCTGATTGAGTGTCAATGTTTTTATCGTTCATCAGCTGGGAAAAAAATCATTCTGAAAGTGATTCCAATGATATCGTTTCTCTGTGCCTTTATAGTTATAGTTGGTGTGGACTCTGTCATACATTAATATTGAGAACAATTTTTAGAACTATATCTTTATCTTTATAGTTATAATCTTTGTGTGAACGGGCCTTTACAATGGAAGTAAATGTACCCAATTTTTGGAGAATTTAGAAGCAGAAATGTGAAGCTTGTAATTTTATAAAAGCACTTACATTTGTTGAGTATTATTTTTGTAGTTGCTTTGAGTGGTAAAATTTATGGTTGTTTTTTACTTGGTAAAAAAGTAGTAAATTTGGCTATAACATTGCACAGAAAAGGTTAAGTGATTTTGGCTATTCTATTGAAACAGTGAGTATTTTAACATTTACAGATTGGCCCCATTCACATCCATTGGAAGTAATTGCAATTGCCTGTAAACCAGATTTTTTTTTTGTTTTTTTTTTTAGAAAAAAGAGAAAAGATTCATTTTTGAAGTAACCAGAATTGTACCACAAATGCCATCATTTGAGCTTAAAGGCACCATGAAATCAAAATGGGCAATTCTTAATTATAATGAAAACATTTCGGTGTTTATTATAAATTATTTATCCATGCACATTATTTTTATTTATATGCACTTGTAATCTTTAAATGATTAGTTCACTTCCAGAATATAAACTTCCTGATAATTTACTCACCCCCATGTCATTCAGGATTTTCATGTCTTTCTTTCTTCAGTCAAAAAGAAATTAAGGTTTTTGAGGAAAACATTCCAGGATTTTCCTCCTTATAGTGAACTTCAATGGTGGCAAGGGGTTGAAGGTCCAAATTGATCCCAGCCAAGGAATAAGGGTCTTATCAAGCAAAACGATTGGTCATTTCCTATAAAAAGTATATACTTTTTAACCACAAATGCTTGTCTTGCATTAGCTCTGCGATGTGCATGTGCGTCTTCACGCATTGCGTAATCATGTTGGAAAAGTCAAGCATAGTTAGCTCTTCATCTGTGTACTCCAGATCAAAAAGGTAGTGTAGGAAAAACTCCATCTCATTTTCTCCTCCAATTTCAAAATCGTCCGACATCATTGTTTTACCTTTTTGTGGAAAGGCCATTTGACTTTCTTTGCATGTTTGCTTCATAAACACTGGGTTGGTACTTTCGCCTACGTCATGCATGGTTGATTACATAATGTGTGAGGTTGATTTGTGGTTAAAAAGTATATACATTTTATTTTATTTATTTATTTTTTAGAAAATAACCGACCCTTTTGCTAGGTAAGACCCTGATTCCTAGAGGCCTTTGAAGCTGCATTGAAACTGCAGTTTGGACCTTCAACCCATTGGCCACCACTGAAGTCCACTATATAGAGAAAGATCCTGGAATGTTTTCCTAAAAAACCTTCATTTGTTTTCGACTGAAGAAAGAAAGACATATTATCTTGGATGACATAGGGGGTATATTAGCGACGTCGATCCAACGATCCAATCTATTCTTGATGGACAAAGTGGTCAAGTCCCACCCCACATTTTTTCTCGTTCAAGAAGCTGTTTGACTTGGATATATACGTCACAGTAGGGAAGAAAAGATTGCAGCTTCCATTTCATGGTGACTTGAAGTTTGATTTAACCCAGAACAATCCTTCGTTAAAGTTTGTTGAAGAGCCTGGTGGGAACATCAGCACACATATGCTGTTGTTTTCACCAGGTTTATGAAAGCAAACTGCTGTGCGGTACTGTAAGTGAAATAGAGATAATTATGTTGGGGAGGTTGTGCGTCTCTGTCTCACTAAAGAACGAATGGAATACAGGTGGAACGATTAGTTCCTCTCAGATCTTTTATTGTTAATGTGCTTGATGATGTGGCAGCTGGGAGAATGGGGGAGAAGTTTGCACCGTGTGTTTATTCCACTTTAAAGATATACGAAGACTTTGGCCGCATTAAAGAGCCACCAAAGAGCAATTTCAGCTCTATCACGGCCCATTCATCACAGGCTGATTGCAAAGTCTGCTTTATCTCGGTAAACGCAGCACAGTTGAAAACATGCTGCAGAACTCAGCACCTGTGGACTACTCCACCAGCGTTTTCATTACTGCTGTGAGCTTTTGTCATCACTGGAGTTACAGCACACACACAAACACACAGATTAAATTTTACCTTGGTGATATGGGCTAGATCTAACATTTTTGTAAGGATAGACAGTATATTAGAGCTGGTTTGGCTTGTAGTGGTAAAGCTGTCTAAACTGTACAAACTGTTCTGCGGGGTTTTGTAGCTGCTCTTGATGCCTTTGGCATTATATCATGTGCAGAAGGAGCCAGATATTCAGTGCTTTGATTGAGAACACAAATAACTCATGTTTGTTTGTAAAAAAAAAATTTTTACTCTGCTTTTCATAACCCAGCCTTTGATTGAGAAAAAAAAACTGTTACTCTGCCATTGATAGACTGGTGGCAATTTGCAGACTTGGTAAAGACATAATATCCTATTTAATATATGGTATAATATTAGCTCACTTTACCTCACATGTATTAGAGAACTCTTACTGCTTTAATACTCATTAATATTGCTGAATAATTTCTGACCTTTATATGGTAATAATTCTTTTAGCTGTGAGGAATAATATGTGTTTAAATGGGTCATGAATTATTTTATAAAGTTTCCTGAAGTCCACTTATAATGTTTGTAGGATTATTAAAAACTGCTGTAATTTAGAAATAGATTTTCTACGCTGATTTCAGCCCTCTGGTTTAAAAACTCGATTTAAATGGGAGGATCTCCTTTAAGACTTACACGTGGGACTCTTTTGAAAACTGTTTTATAAAAATTATACTTTATATAAAACTATATATTTATTTATCACTCCTTTTTTGCAGAGAAAACTTCATTGAGGGCATGTTTAGTGCTAACTTGTAGAAATTTAGTGTGTTAAAATTGACCACAGTCTCCCCTGTAATCATTGCTGGTTCAAAAACTTTTGTGTGTAGTCAAGCAGTGGGCAATGGGGCCAGAGGTTAATTCACAGTTATGCCACTTCGGCATGTGGTAATGCAACTGCTTCTTTTCACAAACCTCCCGCCATCCAACTCAACCAGGCACTACATGAGCTCTGTTTGACAGAGTTAATGCCTGATTTGCATAATTCCCTTAGTGATTCAAATACTAAAACAACACAGACAGCGTGTGCAAATACAAGACGCTGTTGTTTTATTTGTGTTTAATACTTTTTCAACCTTTCTGTGCAGTCATTTGATTTGGTTTGATATGCTTTCCCTTCAACAACTGCTTGCTTTCTCAGATAAAGCCATTGTCAAGACCTTTTTTCTTTTTTAAGCTCAAATACATATTGTGAAACTGGGTTCACTTTCCGTTCACTCTCTAAAATCTCCTTTCTGTGATGCTATCTGCAGTGTTTTTCAAAATGCCACATCATGAATTGAATGACTGTGAAAGGTCGTGTAAGCCTTTACCGGACAGAATTGTCTCTGAGAATCCATCTTAAAAAAGAAAAGGCAAAGTATTATTAATCTGTATGGGTGCAATAGCAGAAGACAATAATGTGACATGGAGTGGAGACTGTGTTACTGCATCTTCTCAAAAGAAAGTCCTCACTGAATTCACGCTCACGGCAATCAATGATGGCGATAAAATGGTCTTTCTGAAAACATGGAGAAGTACGATTGCAGAAACAATGTCATGATGAAACCTCAGGCTTGCCATCTTCAGTGGACAGACCACTTTTATTGTGTTCAAAAAGTGGCAGATAACCTTTATTCGCAGAGCAATTGGAAATGTTAATAAATATCAAATGTGAGGCGCTATCTTCATGTAATATGCCACCTCTGTGACCAATTTCTGTTCTACTATCAGGCAGAGCTGGTTCTGTGTGGACTATCTTCAGTGCCATTCACCCCCTGTAAGCCATAAAAAAAATCAAGGGAGGCATAAATAAAGAGGGAGTAGCGGACCAGTTGTCACACTTCTCGGGAGGCAAGGAGCGAGGAAACACGGAGATAACTTCAATTCACAGTCTTTAATGATCACACGGGGAACATAGGAGACACTGGAACACAAGGAATGACATTTGAGGACCGACAAACACTAACTGAAAGGACTGGGAACACTGGGTGATTGGGAAAACACAGGTGCAAGGAATGACTAATTAAAGGGAACACGGCACACCTGGGGAGGGAAAACACAACCAGGGGTCCAGGGGCGTGACACCAGTCAGTTACCAAACTCATTCAGGTTTTTTGAGAACGTCTGAGAAATGCTAACACACAAATCCAATTTTTCTTCACCTTCTGAAAAAAAGCTTTGAGATTTGATTTGAAGTAAGATTGACTTTAATGTGTTTGTTTTTCAAACGCACCAAACCAGACTGCCGCCATGCTATATTTGTAAAATGGATTTCATCAGCTGACAGCCTTCCAAGAAAACAAATAGAATCAAATCTGCTGCAGATCCCAGACTGGTGAGGAATGTTGCATTTGGCAGACGTGACACTCAAAGTGCCCTTAATCTCAGTCTGCGCTATTAAACGGAAAGTTTCTTTCTCTGATGTGACCTGCAGATTTTATGGAACCATTCAAGCTCGGAAGAGAGGATTGCTTGGCCTGAACAGCACTCACTCAGTTGATTGATGCCTGAGCTCCATTCCTGAGATTGATGGCGATACGCCAGGACCGGTCCTGTGTGTTCACAGTTAACCTCGCTCCTCTTCCTCAATTGCTTCCTCCCTCTTTTCATAGGCTTGGCTAATAATGGATTATTATATGTAAATATATGGTCGCTCCATTTTTCTGTCACTCGATCATCAATCAGACTAGAGGCTAGCTGAGAAAAGGAGTTGTTTCATTTAGTGGATTTTTAGTTTCTGGAACATTATGTGATATGTAATTATTGCTAACCATTATTCTACAATGCAGTCCAGCTTGCTAACCAAAGATTACCTGAAAACAATGAAAGCAGAGATGTTTTATTTGGTTATTTTTAGCTTTACTGATGTTAAGTTAAATATGGTTATATGTCATTTAAAAGGTTCAGCAAGGCTAAGTTGTTATTGCTAACAACTGAAAACAGGCTGGTTAAATTTTTGTAGATTCTGTAGCTTTTTAGCTTCTACTTGAAATGTAATCTAAAAGGCTAAGGCTAAGCTATAGCTTGTTAACGGAGTGTTAACTGAAAACACACCAAAATGTTTAACTTCAAATGTATAGATTCTGTAATATGTGATAAGTCATTTCTAAGCTGTAATGTCTAAGCTGTTAGCTTGCTAACCAAGGACTGAAAACAAAAGAATGGATAATGTTTAATTTTAATTTTTGGTAAAATGCTGTGATTGATGGAATCGACTGCTGCCAGAGCTCAATTTCTGATATTGATGGCGAAAAGCCTGGTCCTGTGTGTCAGAGCCCTTAAGAAAATTAACCAGGGTTTTATTATAGTAAAAGTGTTGTAAACATGGTTAATTTGTCGTAACCATAGCTTAACTAGTAACCATGTTTTTTGTTTTTGTTTTTTGTAGTAAAACCACGGTTAATTTCTGTAAGGGAGTTTACTTCCCTCCTCTTCCTCAATTCCTCTTCCTCTGTCTTTTCATAGATTCTGCTTATAATGGATTATTAAGTATGAATGTGTAATCATTCCCTTTTCTTTGGCTTAATCATCAGTCAGACCAGAGGCTAGCTGGCCATTATGGGCACCACGTAATGACCCGAAGCCATCGATGACTTCTCTTACCCAGTGCGTAGACCTATTAATTGAATCCAGAAGGTTTGTTTATTAGCTTTCCTCCATTCTTTGAAACTGTCTGTCTAATATGCAACTGGTCCATGAAATTCTACTCTTTAATAAGCCTAGTTTGAGAGAAAGTGTCCGGCTGCAATACTTGAGTGCCTCCAGCAGGCTGTAAGCAATGAAAATTTGCATTTATATTGTGCTTTTCTGCATAACCACCGCAGTGGTGTCAGTGCGGGGCATGACGGTAACATGCGTGGATGATTCAACGAGTTAATGAACAAAATGGAAGGATTTGCATTTATAGAGTGTCAGACTCTAGGCCAAAGCGGTTCCTCTTTGTGCCACGGCAATATGGGATATCGCTGTTTGCTCCGACAGGTCCAAGGTGCCCACATCTATCTGCAAATACATCGTGTGGCTTTTATGGACATACAAATGAGGTGAAAGGACAGTTACCGTGTTATTTGGATGCATATGAGCGGCTCGTGTTAATAGGGTTCAGGTTTATTTGAAGTGTCAGAATATGTCCATTTACGTTTCCCCTCGTTTGACAGGCCGCAAGACCCAGCTGCTGCTATACTCAGGCCAGCTGGATCATGGCCACTGGGCACATCCAAAATCAGGGATGCAGGACCAGACAAGCAGGTAGAAAAAAAGAAGAAGAAAGTGTTGCCATGGCGATGCGAAAGCCTGAAAAGTCTCCTCAGCTCTTTAGATTGCCACTCAAAGCATCGGAGTGGAGCGAGTCAGATTTACTGGTGAAAATGAAACACTCTCTCCAGTCAACCAGTCTGCACTAAACAAATCTTAAGTACAACAGACCCATTTTAGTGTCTGTCTTACCGCACGCAACACATCAGACAAAGTGTTTTTTTGAGGGTTTTTTTCAGTTATAAAAAAAAAAGTGATTTTGAAAAGCTTTTATATGGCTGGTTTCATTCTGTAGTGTCTGTTTATGTCCAAGATGGCAATGTTCTGTTCAATTTATGCAAAGTGTTTGAAAATGAGAGTAACATACTCCACTACCATGCACACTAGAAATATCCCAATGTATAACGGTGGGCACAGCCAGTGTTTATTGAAAGATGGCGGGATGAAATGTTTGCAAAGCCTTTATTTTGACCACAGATTGCCTAATAAATCTGTTTGGTCTTTGGGCAGCATGAGAAAACAAACCGTAAATTAGAAACTTGGTCTTTTGGTGGGCTCACATTAGTCACAGAGCCTTATGTGTCCAAACTTTTGCTATGCTTACATCCACGTATTTTTATGCGAACTTGTATTGCGTTTAAAAACCTCTGGATGGAAATGTCAAGAAGTGTATAAAATAATAAAATGCGTATAAAATGTGTTCAACTGAGGCAGATCATTATTTTTATCCAAAAAGAAGACATGCGCATAAACTACAACAGAAACACATACAGAATAAATTCCTTAATACATAACATAAAACCTCTTGCCTCAGCAGAACATTGAGTGGATAACTGGACTAACCAGTGGACCGGTCTCATTGTACAACATCTCATATGTTGGTTTAGTCATTCTGAAATGCCTGAGCCTAAGTCTGTCATCAAAATAGTTTGGGATAATTACATCTCAGAACTGTCTCACACCATTGCGTTCCCAAACATCAAGCATCCGCCTCTGAATGCAAGATAACATAACAGCATTTGTTATTGCATTTCGTCTGCACACTCTGAGGTGCAAGTCATTTCTTATGAAGGAATTTTCATTCGGTTTTGTTCTCTTGAACATATGGGATGGAAACGGTGCGATATTCCAATTTTTGCACATTAAATTTACAAGTTTAGATGGAAATTGGAAACATAGTGTGACTTGCCAACTCAAACAATCATTTGTCACACAAAAGTGAGTGTTGATTGATACAGAAGTGCTCCCAGAGTGTGTTAAGATGTGTGAGTGCTGACGATAACACCAATGATATCTTTACAGGAGAATCCATATGTAATGCTGAGAGCCAATCACCAGGAACTTGAAGGGAACGAGCGCTACGAAGGCTTCTGCGTGGACATGCTGAAGGAGTTGGCAGATACCCTGAAGTTCAAGTACCGCATTCGACTAGTTGGGGACGGTGTGTACGGAGTGTCGGGCGCCAATAGCACCTGGACAGGCATGGTGGGAGAGCTCATCAGCAGGGTGAGTGACGTCACAAGGGAATATGGTTTAATCAGAACAGCACTGCAGTGTCATGAATTTTCCCCCTTTCTTTGCTGCCTGATGATTATTGGTATTGTGAAATGTTGCTACATTAGCTAGTAGACAAAGCTGTTAGCTTGCCGACTGAAGATACAAAGAAAGGAAAATGTTCAGTGTGACCATTTTTAGCTTCTGGAATATAAAGCAATATCTAATTTAAAAGGCAAGTAAAGAGAATTGTTTAATTTGATGTGATATGTAATTTAAAATGTGTGCATGTAATAATATGTGGTAGTTAACTTGAAAAGCTATATTAGGTTCAAATTTTAGCTCTCTAATCGTCGGCTAAATGAAAAAAGCTATACAAATTTAAGCTGACAATTTTTAGCTTTAGCAATGTGAAATGTAATTTAAAATACACACACTATACTAATACTATGGCCACACTTTAGTTTATTTTATGGTCCAGTTCTCACTATTAACTAACTATTAACTACAACTTTTGCCTCAATAAACTGCTAATTACTGCTTATTAATAGTTAGTAAGGTAGTTGTTAAGTTTAGGTATTGGGTAACATTATGTAGAATATGATCATGCAGAATATGTGCTTTATGAGCACTAATAAACAGCCAGTATGCTAGTAATATGCATGCTAATATGCAACTAGTTGCTAATTAGTTGCTAATGCGAGAATTTGTCCCTATAATTAATATTAATAAATAAAATGCAAATTATTTCTGTGATGGCAAAGCTGAATTTACTACAGAAATCATTCTACTGTGCTTATTTGGTGCTCATGAATAATTTTCTATATTATCAATGTTAAAAAAAGTTGTGCTACTTAAACCGTGATGCTTTATTATGGATTAAGGATTATTTTATCAATAGAAAGTTCAAAAGAAATTTAATTTAATGCATCGTTGTTGAATAAAAGTATTAATTTCTTAAAAAAAGAATATTACTGACAAACTTTTGAACTGTAGTGTACTTTATATTTTTATAAATATGATAAAACCAAGCATAAAAGCGATTTATTGTCATTTCTAATCAGGCAACTGTATACAATACTCATAAAAAGCTGTTTCAGTCAGCAGAATGGCTTTGTTGAGGAAGGGGGATAAAACATTATTGGCAGTTTGTTTGTCTAGTAGCTTGTCAACAGAATCACTGGCAGATTTTATGGTTCCCAACTTAACCCCTGGTTATTCTGGCATCTAGAACAGTCATGTAGTATGAATTTCCTTCAAAGCACACCACTTCTGCTGTTCTGAATACATGGCATGAAACAGTCTGCTTCCTCTTGTTTTAGCTTAGAATTATTCACTCTCAAATGCTCATTTCAATAATTCATTAAAGGAAGGAAGCCTTAAAGCCAGACTAAAAATTGTTTTACTTGCTTCCACACAGGTGATCCAGATTAACCAACAATATGGTTTATGCCTCCAACCCAGTTACAGGTCCCTCATCCTAATGAATTTCAATTAGCCCATCTGATCCCATAACAGACACACACACAGATGTGTTTAAAAAGACTCAGTGAAGCGTGAAGAGTATTGGTCCCATTCTGACAGCCGCTAACATCCCGTTGATGAGATGGAAATCTTGCATGCCGCAAATACTGTTTAGTTACGAGCGCTTGCCCTTTTCAGCGGAAATGTTATTTATTTAAAAACAGTCGCAGAATTACGGCGTGCTGGTGATTTATTCGTCCGTTTTTTGGCAGGCAATGAGGGGGCAAAGTAAATTTTCAGAAATGAACAAAAAGGCCACAGCGATATTCATATATTTCCAGGGGAAAGGGTCATAAACCAGAACATTTCTCTGCAGCCTACGTTCTCGCATTCAAAAACGGAGAGGCTTTGAGAAGTTATCCGTCTTAATTCCACAAGCTAATGGAGGGCAAAGCCATTAGTGAAATAAAGAAAGAAGTGCCTAATCTTATTATTGTCTCAATTTGTTCCCTCAAAGTATGCTCTATACAGCTGACCTTGAGAGTGGCCAATGAGTCTAATTGCATCCCACGCACTATAGTGTCTGTAGACAGTAGAGGGTGATGACCTCGTCCTGACAGCCTCTCTATGCCTTTAGGATCCCATGAGGGACCTTTATCCTCTTATTTATTACATAAAAACATGGGAATAGATTTGCATATGAACAAAGACTACAAATATGTTCGCAGTTGTGACTGAATGTAACAGAAAATTGAATGAAGTACAAGCTAACATTTTGCCACACCTGCTAATGGCTGTGACTTGAGAAAATTTAACGGCTATATTTTTTACTGGCCATAAACTGTATGTGCATAGTTTCATAAAAAAAAAGGTAGAACAAATTGAGAAAATGCATCTAATTGCAATTATTATTATTATTATTGTCATTATTATTTACACAACAATAGTTGAAATACAATACTAATATATGTTTATTTATTTATTTATTTCTGTGTTTGCAAACGTTAAACCATAAAGATTTTATTTTGGCAGAAAACCACAGGAAAACGTCTCTTGAAAAGCTTCTCTTTTTTTAACTAGATTTATAAACCATTAATAGAGTTTCACTATGACACAGTGCATCACATATTTTTTTGCGTTTGTAATATAACATTTTATTTTCCTTATTAAATTATGTTAAGAGTTGGACATTTAAAATGATTAAAAATAATTTATGATCAATTAAAATATTTAATTTATTTAGAAGAGACTGGATTTTTTAAAAATAAATATCCCTAACAGTATTAAAACTGAACATACACATTAATAAATGTGTATATACACCTTAATGTACGTGTAAGTACAGCCTTTTTTTTTTTTTAAAGCATCTACGTATAATACATTTTTCAGTCATTGTTGTTATTATGTAATAGCATTATAGGATTTAAAAGAATTTAAAGAATTTTTTTTTAAAGAAAAATGTATGATATAATATAATATTAAATCTGAAAGCACAAAATTCTACAATGGATTGTTTTAATTATATATAATAACATACATTCTGTATGCTTGTTTAGTCAGTGTATCTGTTTACATGCTAAATGCAATCTAAAGCCAGAAAAATGAACCTTAAGATATTAATGGTCGAATCAAAGTTTACCTTTATATTTAATTAATGTATTTTGATGGTTACGAGTTGATAAATGAGGCAACAAATACAATACCTCACACAAACATTTCTGCTATTAATATTATAATTTATTGGAAAATGAGAATCTGCACATAAGTGGCTCACTTTTGCCCTAAAATATGGACTCCTAATCCCAGTGACTGTCCTGGTCATGCTTTATAATGTTCTGGAAACTCTTGTAAAACTAAAGACAGCGCAATAGTACACAAAGGTAGTGAAGCAGCCGAGCTGTCAGGGTTTTCTATAGCGTCAGATGCAGAATAAGCCTCTGAGGGAATTTGAAATGCCACACTGGGAACTTACGTCAGTGTATTATTCAGTAGTGATAGAGTTGACATTGCCTTCTTCTCTCGTTTTTTGGGGGCATCACTTTTTGATTGAGTCAAAGCTGAGGGGGAGGATGGAGCGCAGGAAGAATATCATACTGCATTATTTATTATTTAGAGTCTCCGTCTCATAATTTCTCTCTCTGTGCAGTCCAGCCATCAATATTAATATGTAACGAGATGTCAAATATTTGAGCGGCAGTTATTGCCCTTGTTTCTGTTATGATGACATCTGTTTGAGGGATTTCTGTTCAGCGGGGACCGCGTAATTTCCTTGTTTGTGTGTCAGCGTGATGTTTTGTTGTGTGAAGTGAAGTGTGCGTGAGTTGGAGAAGAGTTGTGGGCCACAGCTGAACTATGGAGAGCACTTGAAGATTAGTGCATCTGCAAGCTGTTATTGGGGAAGGAATCTTCAGGGATTTTTCAGGGAATCTTCAGGGTCGCTTTTGCTACGGTGAAGTACTGTACATGGCGAGATAATGACATAACTAGCTTTATAATCAGGTGAGCAGACAGTTGCAGGGTTATTATCGTTACCTAAAACCATAAAAAACATGGTTTCTTTAAATAAAATGGATGGTAACACTTTAGAATAGGGAACACACAGTTGAAGTCAAAAGCTTATGTACTGTACACCTTGCAGAATCTGCAAAATGTTAGTTATTTTACCAAAATAAGAGGGATCATACAAAATGCATGTTATTTTTTATTTAATACTGACCCGAATAAGATATTTCACATAAAAGATGTTTACATATTATCCACGAAAGAAAATAATAGTTGAATTTAGTTTACATACACTTGGTTCTTAATGTTGTTACCTGAATGATCCACAGCTGTGTTTTTTTGTTTAGTGATAGTTGTTCATGAGTCCCTTGTTTGTCCTGAACAGTTAAACCCCCTGCTGTTCTTCAGAAAAACCCTTCAGGTCCCACAAATGCTTTGGTTTTCCAGAATTTTGTGTATTTGAACCCTTTCCAACAATGACTGTATGATTTTGAGATCTATCTTTTCACACTGTGGACAACTGACGGACTCATATGCAACTATTACAGAAGGTTCAAACGCACACTGATGCTCCAGAAGAAGAAAAAAACATGCATTAAGAGCTTGGGGGTGAAAACTTGAATTTGAAGATCAGGGTAAATGTAACTTATTTTGTCTTCTGGGAAACATGTAAGCATCTTCTGTAGCTTCTGAAGGGCAGTACTAAATGAAAAAAATATAATATTTATGCAAAATAAGAAAAATGTACACATCCATTCTGTTCAAAAGCTTTCATCTTTTGAACAGAATGCTCTTAATGCATGCTTTTTTTTTTCTTCTGGAGCATCAGTGTGCGTTTGAACCTTCTGTAATAGTTGCGTACTATTACATTTGTGGGACCTGAAGGATTTTTCTGAAGAACAGCAGGGGGTTTAACTGTTCAGGACAAACAAGGGACTCATGAACAACTATCACTAAACAAAAAAACACAGCTGTGGATCATTCAGGTAACAACATTAAGAACCAAGTGTATGTAAACTAAATTCAACTATTATTTTCTTTCGTGGATAATATGTAAACATCTTTTATGTGAAATATCTTATTCGGGTCAGTATTAAATAAACAATAACATGCATTTTGTATGATCCCTCTTATTTTGGTAAAATAACTAACATTTTGCAGATTCTGCAAGGTGTACAGTACATAAGCTTTTGACTTCAACTGTGTGTTCCCTATTCTAAAGTGTTACCATCCATTTTATTTAAAGAAACCATGTTTTTTATGGTTTTAGGTAACGATAATAACCCTGCAACTGTCTGCTCACCTGATTATAAAGCTAGTTATGTCATTATCTCGCCATGTACAGTACTTCACCGTAGCAAAAGCGACCCTGAAGATTCCCTGAAAAATCCCTGAAGATTCCTTCCCCAATAACAGCTTGCAGATGCACTAATCTTCAAGTGCTCTCCATAGTTCAGCTGTGGCCCACAACTCTTCTCCAACTCACGCACACTTCACTTCACACAACAAAACATCACGCTGACACACAAACAAGGAAATTACGTGGTCCCTGCTGAACAGAAATCCCTCAAACAGATGTCATCATAACAGAAACAAGGGCAATAACTGCCGCTCAAATATTTGACATCTCGTTACATATTAATATTGATGGCTGGACTGCACAGAGAGAGAAATTATGAGACGGAGACTCTAAATAATAAATAATGCAGTATGATATTCTTCCTGCGCTCCATCCTCCCCCTCAGCTTTGACTCAATCAAAAAGTGATGCCCCCAAAAAACGAGAGAAGAAGGCAATGTCAACTCTATCACTACTGAATAATACACTGACGTAAGTTCCCAGTGTGGCATTTCAAATTCCCTCAGAGGCTTATTCTGCATCTGACGCTATAGAAAACCCTGACAGCTCGGCTGCTTCACTACCTTTGTGTACTATTGCGCTGTCTTTAGTTTTACAAGAGTTTCCAGAACATTATAAAGCATGACCAGGACAGTCACTGGGATTAGGAGTCCATATTTTAGGAAACATGTAAGCATCTTCTGTAGCTTCTGAAGGGCAGTACTAAATGAAAAAAATATAATATTTATGCAAAATAAGAAAAATGTACACATCCATTCTGTTCAAAAGCTTTCATCTTTTGAACAGAATGCTCTTAATGCATGCTTTTTTTTTTCTTCTGGAGCATCAGTGTGCGTTTGAACCTTCTGTAATAGTTGCGTACTATTACATTTGTGGGACCTGAAGGATTTTTCTGAAGAACAGCAGGGGGTTTAACTGTTCAGGACAAACAAGGGACTCATGAACAACTATCACTAAACAAAAAAACACAGCTGTGGATCATTCAGGTAACAACATTAAGAACCAAGTGTATGTATACTTTTGAACGGGGTCATTTTTATAAATTCAACTATTATTTTCTCTTGTGGACTATATGTAAAAATCTTTTATGTGAAATATCTTATTCGGGTCAGTATTAAATAAACAATAACATGCATTTTGTATGATCCCTCTTATTTTGGTAAAATAATTAATATTTTGCAGATTCTGCAATATGTATGTAAACTTTTGACTTCACCTGTATTCACTATTAACTATGACTTTTCCCTCAATAAACTCCTAATTTGCTGCTTATTAATAGTTAGTAAGGTAGTTGTTAAGTTTAGGTATGGGGTCAGATTAAGGGATCTAAAATATGGTCGTGCAGAATAAGGCATTAAAATGTGGTTTATAAATACTAATAAACAGCCAATATGCTAGTAATATGCATGCTCATAAGAAACTAGTTTGTGAGAATAGGTCCTTAAAATAAAGTGTTACCAAATAAACTTTAATAAAATATAAAAATATGTTTTAAAGTGTATTATTTTGGCTTACAAATAACTAAAATCAAGATCAAAATTAAGACTATATAAAAAAACGAATAACAAAAACACCAAAAATGTTCACTAAAACTAGAGTTTGTTAAGAAAAGGCTTGAAAAATTTAAACTAAATAAAAAAAAAACGTACCTCAATGATACGTCTTGGATATTGAAACACGTGTCTAATGTTCCTAATTCGGCTCTCGGAGTTAACAAGCCTCTCTTGTCGCTTTCAAGGGTTCAGGCTTGAGGCTAAAACTTCACATTGTAACTGATATCTGCTGTCCGGAGATTCTCTCTCATTTACAGCACAGCTCCAATATCCCATCATTCCTCCTGGAGAGGACAAAGAGCAGTGGAGGGTAAGAGTGTGTCCCGCGGGACCGTAAAATCCCTTGCAGATGCACTTTTCGGTGTTGTTTGATTAGTGGGATCCGGCCACAGCATTGTGCCCGGCAGCACTGGATGCTGTGTCAAGTGATTTGTCATGACAGTTTCTGTGTTCATGTTCCATCACACACACACACACACAACTCAGCTTTGCCCTTCAGAATTCACCAAAATACAGGTATCTGGACTGCAAGCAGTTGTTTCCAAGTGTAAAAAGACAGGTCATGGTAGCTTAAGGTGGTTAAGCTGGTTTGTTGCTGGTTTGAGATGGTTTACATGCTCTAATCAGCTTAACTAAGATAGACTACAGGGGTGTCATGATTTTAAGGGGGCTTTTTGCTTTTGGTGAGACAAGAGACAAGCACCTACTTCATAATGATACATAAATGTATTTAATAATTGTACTTGATAATCAGTGTTATTTATGTGTAATTTATACAATATTATTTATTAATATTTTGAATTAGAGTGTTAATGTTTTTTGGATTTGTTTCAGTTTGCATTTATATTTTAGTTTAAGTTTTAGTGTTTTTGTTATGTGCTTACATCATTATTACTATTTTTTTACTTTTTCATATTTTTACTTTTTTATTTTAGATGTAATTTTTGTTTTAGTTTGTCATCTAATATTTCTATTTAATTGTAATCATTTATATAACTATATATTTTATAATTCCATTTGATCAGTGTTGTTTTTATGTAATTTATATACTATTACAGTATTTATAAATATTTATGTAATATTATATATTTTTTATTTTATTGTATTGTGTGTATATATATACTGTATATATACACACACACACATATATATATATAATATATAATTTTTATATAATATATTATAATAATATAATAAATATTAATATATATTTGTCAGTTGGTTTAATATTTTCAGATATACTGTTACTTTTAGTTATTTTGTTATGTGTTTTTGTCATTTTTTTTGCCTTATTTTAAATAATTTTATACTTCAACTTATTTAACTTTAAGTTAAATTTTAATATTTATTGTATTTCAGCTTTATTTTTATTGACTAAAACTATTTTTATTTGTTTTATTTTTAGTTAACAATACCAACACTCTTGATATTGAAGTTTAAAATTCACTTGGCATAAATATCTGAGGGGCCAGATACCCCCTTTCTTGAACCAGCAAGAAACCACATATATATACCACCTTACACTGTTTGAGCTTCATTTTTTGCACCTTTTTATCCAGACCCGCACTAATGGCTGCTGTTATTTTGCATATGTTTCAGAAGGCTGACTTGGCTGTGGCCGCCCTGACCATCACGGCCGAGAGGGAGAAGGTCATTGATTTCTCCAAACCCTTCATGACTCTGGGGATCAGCATCATGTACCGAGTGCACATTGTAAGTTCCTCCATCTCCTCCATCCACTGCAGCCCAAGACTCCCGAACCATTCCCGACCTCGTAGCATTAAAGATCAACAATCCTCAACAATCGGCAGCCTCTACTGGCCGGAGAGAGAGCGCGTAGGAAATAAATAGAGAAACACTTTGGGGCAGAGAGCTCTGAGCCCTTGCCGTAGCAGATGGTGCGCTGTGGTGGGAAAAGCTGATAAATGTAGTGCTTTCCTTCCCAATTTCAGATTCTCCTTATTGTGGCTTGTATCTAATTCACACCAATAACACCCCGAGCTCTTGCACACGGCAACACTGAAAATCCAATAGCTCTTTTACCTTTAAAGGCCTGTGCGCCATTAATCAAAGCCCCTCCCCAAACCCAAGGTGACATGCTGATCTCTCTGTTGGCTAAATGCCGGATGAAGCCGCTCGGTGCAGCGTGTGCAAACATTAATGTGGTGTCCCGGTAGGGCATTTACGCAAACACACACGCACACACACTCACTCGCTTACACAAACACATCGTCAGCCCCCTGCTCTGTTCATGCTGCTAATAGATGCTCCTGTGTGCGTCTTCATTGGTTGAGAACAGTTGGGGGAATCAATAACACCAGGTGTGCTGTTAACTGAGAAAGAAAGAGCACTTCTGGTGCAGATTTTTGAACTACAGCGTAAAAAAAAGTATGCGTACGGCACAAATGCATGCTTTTCACCCAACTCAAGTAGGCCGTAACCGCTAAAGACATTGAGTTAGAAAAGTCACTTATACTATGCCCTAAAAAGTATGTACTCTCTTTGTGAAGAAAAAGTACATACTTTTGAGTATGTAGCAGAATAGTAGGCAAGCTTTGGAACATACTACTTCGTCATTATTACGTCTTTAACGGGCCGCTCTGTTGCTTAGTTACATGCATTCTTTCACTGTTTAAACTGCCCTGTCAATCATCTTGTTACAGTTAACATAGTATAAATAAAATTTACGTTGTTCTTCCAGTCATGGGTCTTTCCTCATACTCTCCTCATATGTTTGCATAATGATGCATTTAAAAGTTAATGACCAAAGTTATCTTTATAAAATTGTTGTAGATTAAATATAACGCAGATAACATTAAATAAATTTAATTTCTGCATATCTGGCATGTTTGTAGTTTTTTAACACTTTTTATGCATGTTTGTAGTTCTAATCGAATCCTTGTCCAACGCACAATGTGTTGTGGGCAATATTAGCCATTAGAGTGTGCATTGATCTGCACTTCGAATTCTAACTGGAAGTAGTCGACCGTCCGGGAATCTTTGGCATTCTCTTTTCAACATACTACGATTTGGGACATATTTAATTCTATTTTCAAATACTATTTAGGACAGATGTATGATGTATGACAAATTCGATGTATGCAAATTGGGACGCAGCAATAGTTATATTATTTTCTTTATTCTTTTTTTCTTTTCTTTTTATTATTTTCAGTATCGGTCGATATTGGATATTTGTTTGTACATGTTCTTTTCCATTATTTTTTGCTTTCAAACTACATTTGCCATCATCTGTAACTCACTTAATGTTAACAAATATTAATTATTTAATAACACCGTTAAATGTAACCATTAGCAAATCTCAAAATCAGTGTTTTTTCGAACACTGGATTATTATGTTGTGATGCCTAAATTGACTTTTTTTAGCATTTAGCATTTAAACATTTATAGTAAATTTTAGTGTTTTATTTCTAATTTATTTAGACTAAATATTGTAGAATTTTAATATCAGCCATTTGCTGGCCATATCATCGTATCTGCCAGAACTTTAGTATTTGGGCATTTTTACCAATTACTAGTAATTAATGTTTTTTGTACTCGCATAGAAGTTTCTCATGTGCTAAAATGCTTTTGTGCCCACACAATAGTCTCAGAGCTTTTTCATGCTAAATGTGCTTCATAACAAGCACTTTTTAGCACTTAATTATATTTTCAGATGTAACAAGGTGAGTTTTAGACACTGCAGTTTAAACCTATTTACCAAGCTTTACGAGATTAATCAAATAATTCACATTTTTTCCATGAACAATTTCAGTACTACTGGCTATAGGCAAATGCTAAATGGGAAAATTGTTCCAGAACCAACAAAGGGTGTTGGGGTAAATTACATTGTGCCCCACAGTGAGCTCAGATCTTAGTGAGGTGTGAATTATTTGCTTAAAATGCTTTCGTTTCCAGCAATAAATAATTCATTTATAGGTTGATTTTCCCTGAAAACTGTAAACACTGTGGAGCTTTTAAAACATTGCTGAAATTATAGACTTCACCTTTAAACACTAGGCTGCGACTGCCCTAGAGAGGTGGCTGAGAAAGTAAGAGAAAGAAGTGAAAGTTGATTGAAAAAGGCACAGAGGCAGACACAGCGAGTGACTCAGAGACGGGCAGACAGAGAGAACAGTGACAGAAGACATAAAAGGAGTGTTAAATGAGTTCACACAGGTAAAGAGGATAAAAGGCTGTTGTACAGTGTAGAGCTGTTCTCAGGCTGGAAAGCCTTGAGCTCTCTCTCTCTCTGTCTGTCTCTCCATGGCTCTTGTCTGTCCCAGAATAAAGCTGGAGTGGATGAAAATATCAGGTTGTGATGTCACTACATGAAGAAGGCTGAGCTCATGAATATTATTTTAGCTTTTGCTGGTGTTGCTGATGTTTCACATTGATTTGCAAGATATATTAAATATTAAACCAGTTTTGCATTTGTGCTCGTTACGTTCCATATTAATAATTTATCAGAACTGAAATATCAATAATATATCAACAATATATACATGAAATATAAATTATATATGTGTGTGTGTGTGGTTTTTCAGTTATTACTTAATCAGAGTTTTATACAAATATAAATAATTTTATTTATTTTAGAAATCATTAGAAATATATATAATTTTTAATTGAATATTTTATAATTTAATTACTTTTTATTTTTAAATTCAGTTTGTGTGTATTTAATTTTCTACTATATACAGTTTTTCTGTTAATAATTTATAATAAATCAGAAGTGAAAATTTATAAATATACATTTTTTATTTTCTACAATTAGAGATAGAAAGAAAGAAATAAATTATATATATATATAACTCATTTTAATTGAATATTTTATAATTTAATTACTTTTTATTTTTTATTTCAGTTTGTTTGTATTCTGCTTTATATATATTCTATTAAAATTGTTTGATTAATCAGAAGTGAAAATGTATATAAATATACATTCATTTTATTTATTTTAATATTGATATTTTGATATATAAGACATGAGCCGGCTAAACTTGGTTGAGTGTGTTAAAGATGGGGGTCGGCCTTCAGTTCGGTTGCTCCTGCTCAGAATAATCTCCTCTCACTCATCTATACCCCACAGCCATGGTGCTCTGGATATTTGGATTCTTGTGCGTGCACTTGTTTAGATTTAATCCACTTACTATTGATCCAGCAGGCTTTGATTTCTACAAGGACCCCCATAGCTTATTTCAAACTTTAAATGAAATCCTTCGCTTGATCAATAACAATGGCAAATGGAATAAAATGTGGCCTTCGGCCCTGTTTTAATTACATGTTTGCACGTACAGTGGTATCTCCATCGCAGCGTGTAATTGGACGCACTGGTAAACGTGAACATATGGAATGTGCCATTTTGTTTTTGTATGTATATATGAGTGTAGTCTGGAGAGTGTGACGCAAGAATGCATGAAAATTAGTCTCCCTTCGTCTTGTGCGGTGCACGCAGGGAGGAAGAAGAGAGACTAGGTGTGGCTGAGGATGAAATACCTAATTAGTGCAACAAGTTACTTACAGTAGATGGTACAGGGAGCATTGGCAAGATCATGCACAGCCCCAAAAGAGCAGCAACAGAGCTTGTGTGCATTATGAGACTGTGTGGAGTGTACAGAGAAAGAAAAAGAGCAGCTGCCCTCAGAACATAAAGTCGGGGGAATTTTTTCCTCTGAAGCACTCTAGCTGTGACAAGACCATGTTCCTCCCACTGGCCACACACTTTCAAGGTGTGAGCGGCTACAAAAGGGAACTCTGTGCCTCTACTGCATAGAGCCCTCTTGACTCATGACTGAGCGTTTATCTCACAGCAGCGTGCTTGGTTTCATGATGTACTTCAGATTTGAAATAATGCATCACGATCGTGTAGTTCCGCTTAAAATGAGCCTACAGAAATCTGGACGTTTTTAGTGACAGGAGAAGAAATATTCTGAATGTAACCGTCTTTCAGTGGAATTCAATGGAACGTTAAGTTTTCAAATCTTTTCAGCACAAGTCGATCTGACAGTGGCTGGTAAACATACGCTGACAGTATATCACTGCTCTGTAGCAGACACTTCACTACAGATCAGTCTGAACAGCAAATCACAGTGGAGACTAGTAAAGGGTTTTTGACCAGTGATCTTTGAGTGAAACAACAAACACACACTCAAGAACCCATGCATAACCCTTTATGTATTTTTATTAAATGCATGTGTAATCACCATCTTATGGAAGCCTGTTTCCATCTTTAAAAAAATAAAAGATGATTGTGACTTTTTTTTCTTTTTCATTGTTATGATCTCATAACATAACTTTTGACATTTTATCTCGCAATTTGTCATTTTACTTCTTTTAACTGTAACTTCATATTTCATAATGTGACTTTATATCCCACAATTAGATTTTATATCCCACAGTTGCAACTTTACATCTGATAGTATGACTTTATATCTCACAATTTGGTTTTATATATCTCACACTCAGTTAATTTTATATCTCACAGTTGCAATTGTATTTCTTCACAATGTGACTTGTTTTAAACTTTATCTCACAGTGATCTGTTTATTTTTATTTTGAGGCAGAAATAAGCTTCCATACTATTTTGTCATTGTTTCTTAGATATTTATTTTGCTTAGCATGTGGTATCTTTAATTGACACCATATACTTGAGCTAACATGGACTGATGATCAAGTTCTCCAGCATGATTTAAAAAATCATTGAACATTTTGTGTTTCAGTGGAAGAAATAAGATCTTGTAATAACACAGTCAAGGTCTAAAAATTGATCTACAAATATACAGTAGTGTTCAAAAGTTTGGAGTCTGTAAGATCTTTTTTTAATGTTAATGTTATGCTCACCAAGGCTGAATTTATTCATGAAAATACAGTAAAAGCTGTAATATTGCTAAATGTTTATGCAATTTAAAATAACTTTACTATTTGAATTTATTTTAAAATATAATTTGTTCTTTTATTATTTCTGTGATGGCAAAGCTGAAGTTCCAGCATCATTAAATGTTAATGTTATGCTCACCAAGGCTGAATTTATTCATGAAAATACAGTAAAAGCTGTAATATTGCTAAATGTTTATGCAATTTAAAATAACTTTACTATTTGAATTTATTTTAAAATATAATTTGTTATTTTATTATTTCTGTGATGGCAAAGCTGAAGTTCCAGCATCATTACTTCAGTGTCATATGATCATCATTCTAATATGCTGATTTGCTGCTCAAATCTCATTATAAATGTTAAAATCAGTTATGCAGCTTGATATTTTTGTGGAAACCATTATATTTATTTCAGGATTCTTTAATGAATCTAAATCTCAATAGAACAGCATTTATGTAAAATAGAAATGTTTGTTACTATCTTTACTGTCATGTTTGATGACTACAATGCATCTTTGCTGAATAAAAGTATAAAAATAATTACTAAACTTAAAGTTCAGAATCTTAAATATTGTTTTGTTTTACATTCTTTTGAAATCCAAAAATGGCAATGTAAGTTAAGCAAAAGTAAAAATCAATTTGCAGTCATTGAATAGTGAAATTTAATTATCATTAAAGCTTAACAAGTATGAAATATCACCGATGAGTGAAACACGCCACTAATGAGAAAGCCATCAGTGGTTATATTTATTATTCAGGAAGTGAATGCTCTACATTTGGAAAAGAGCAAAAAAAATCGGAAAATTCAAACTCGAGATCAATCACATTAACGCCACAAGGCATAATTAATTGTTTTAATAAACTGACAACTATTAAAAGTAGAAGTAAATAACTCTTCCCATAAATACCTCTCTGTGCGCTGAACATTGTTACAAGAAACACTGAAGCTGTAATCAGTAAAAACAGATAAACATAGTAAGACAACACATGCGATGACAGCTCTGCAGTTTCCTCTGTCATTTAATATGTTGTGTAGTGCAAATGTTAATGAGGACCTGGTTAACCAGACACTGGGAACCCTGGTGTGAGATTCTGGTATGACTGCAGGCTTCTGCAGCTGCTTCAGGTTTTATTTCGACAGCCAAAGCAGCAGCAGCGCTTCTCAAAGACTACATTTTTAGTATATCACTGGGAGAAACTTTATTTCTTACCTCAAACCCACTAAGCCACAAACGAGAAATTACATAACACCACAGAGACACATCAGAGCCTATGGGGACACGCTAGAGTCGAGCAAGAACTGCCCTACTGCACTGCTGTTCAGTCAAACTGGGGGAGGATCTTTCTGTGCTCATTTGTTAAATGATCAAGGGAAGATTCGCTCTTGAGGGTGTTACATGTTCGAAAGGCTGTTAAACCGCGTGTATAACCTGTGTAGCTCACCTCTAAAACAGATGTGCACTAGTTTCTCGCTTGTTTTCCGGCAGGTTTCTGCAGTCCACAATGTTGACTGTGCTTTAGTTTAAACCTTAAAATTGAATTTACTAAGAGGCTGTAAACAACGCAAGTTGCTTCAGCTGGAAGCAGATTGCACAAACCCAACCCGTACCCCCTTGTGAGCACCGTCCGCAAGTCCCTCTCGCTGTAAGTCACGATACAATTATCTCCTCAAATCTCACTCGAGCTCAGTCTGGCACATACAGGCTCCAGGCACGGCCCAATTTTCCCATCCCTCGACGGCAGCTTCCGTAAGAAAGTGTAAACCTGCCTAAGAATAAAACCACACCTAAACCGGCTTTTTTCCCCCATTGAGAGCCCATCAGTTTCTTGTGTATCTACCATAGACAGGCTTGCCTCTATTTATTGCTATAATTACAGCTTTTAGTGTCCAGCTCAACAGCAATGCCATTCAATTACACTAATATGGAGATGATTGCAGACACATTAATGAATTTCCAGCCTGGTGTGGGATAGATAGTGGAATAATTACTCATTTCCACACTATAGTAAACCAGTTTTTTTGTAGTCTTGGGGGGGGGGGGGGGGAAGCAGCACAAATGATTTGTTTGCGAGTGTATCCATCTCTGGGACTATTTAGATCCACCATCTGTAAGACACCTGTGGCATGTAGATAGATTAGGCATGGTGCTTTCACACTTAGTTTCTCGCTGATAAGAGACTGTTAAGTTGTTGCTGACCACTGATTGTCAAAGTACCTCCAGGAGAGATAATTGGATTTGACTATTGTGTACAGAATCGGCTCCCGAGTTCTGTTCCAGCGGTTATTGGATCTTCAGAGTGTGCCAAAATGGTTAGGAGACAGAAAATCAAGCACTTTGTTTGGATCAAGCCAATCAACCGTAAAAGCCTTTAAACATCTTTAACCCGAATGTTTACTTACTGGAATTGAATGATATATGCTTATAGGATCTTTGGGATGCTTGTTTCAGTGTCTTGATGTTGCCTGTGTGTTTTTATAGGGAAGAAGACCGGGGTATTTCTCCTTTTTGGATCCGTTCTCTCCTGGGGTTTGGCTTTTCATGTTGCTGGCGTACCTGGCAGTGAGCTGCGTGCTCTTTCTGGTGGCAAGGTAAATACTCAGCTCCACACTGACACCTGCAGGATCTTATTAGCACCAACACTATCCCTAAAGTGGTAGTGCAGCTAAAAAATGACTGTCAAAATTGTACTGACATTTTGAAAGAACATCTTAAAGAGCTTTTACTCTGCTGCCATACAATGAAAGTGGAAGGCTCCAAAATGGATAAAACGGCAAAATAAAAGTTGTACATAGGAATCTTACACAATATTCCAAGTTTTTTTTAGAAAGCATAATTTATGGGAAGAGAGAGTATTAAAATTAATCACGCAACGTGATTTACCCTTACCAAAAAGTAGTATACTTCAAGTTCATTTTAGTAAGTATACTTAAGTAAAGTTCAAGTATATTTTTAAGTATACTTTATGTAGTAAGTATAGCTGGTCATTATGGAAATGATCTGGCTGCGTCTGTGTTCTTTAATGTGTGCATTTTCAGTAAATCACCCGCAGAATTTTCCCCTCCCATCGGTGCATTTATGGAATTGCGCTCTTACGCTAATTTGCCCTGTTTAGTAAATCTGGCCCTATATCCCTAAACTAACCCCTCTACTAAAACCGGAGGGCAAAGATTAGTTGATAGGAATTTTGGAACATTCCTACTGCATGAACTAATCTTTGTGCTCTGATTTTAGGGGGAGGTTTAAAGGTTAGGATTGTTAGTTCATAGGAATGTTGTTGTTGCAAGATCAACATCCTTTGTTGGTCCTGTGAAACAGTCATGACCTTAAACCTAACCCTGAAATCTAATTGGTTGGTTGGAATGCAGTTCTAGGATCAGCATGTGTGTATTTGTAGACATTTCATTGTAAACTCACTTTTTATTCCAGCTTTGCATTGGATCACAAAAGAAATGTCATGTTTTATACTCTTTCACAGTAGCCTGCTGATTTTCCAGCATTCTGCAGGACAACGGGGGTGTCGGGCGTTTTTATTCACTGAACATTACCTGTCAAGACATTTTATATAAATTCATTGTTGGAGCTTTTGCGTATGCGTGTGTTTTTCTTTGTTTGCCTCTCTATAATGTGTATATTTTTATAAAATTACACATTTGTTATTGAAATACGACCTGTGTTTTCTTTTCTGCATTGCTTGTGTTCGGCATTTCAACAGAGCTGTAATGTGAGGTTGTCGCACACCTTGAAGAGTAACTCAGCAGCGTCCTGCAGTGCAGTGCATTTTTATTAGTGTCCTGTCAGTCACGGCTAAAGCTTGCACAGCCCCTTCAGGGAACAAAAATCAGGTTACATGGCCAACAGGGAGCACTGGTGACTTCATGCTTTGCCAACTGTTAAAATTGTTCCTGGCTCATTTATGTTTACTACTTTATATCCTTTCTTTTTTCACGCTCCTCTTGGCACACAGGCTAACACCTTATGAATGGTACAACCCTCACCCCTGCCTGAAAGGGCGCTGTAGCCTGCTCATTAACCAGTATTCGCTGGGCAACAGTTTCTGGTTTCCTGTGGGTGGTTTCATGCAGCAAGGCTCCACCATCGCCCCCAGAGCCCTGTCCACACGCTGCGTCAGTGGAGTATGGTAAGAGCGCGCGATAAACAATCTCCAGTCTCCATTCTGCATTGATGGTCACCAGCATATTTGGTCTCCAGGATGCGATTTATGAGGAATGTACAGAATGTCAGGGAATTATATTGATATTTCCTCATTGTATGTAAGCCTCAGAAAGGTACATATTTGTTGGTCATAGCTCTTGTCTTCATAAAGCAGGTCAAAAAGGCCGTGTATCGAATCATGGTATTTTTTACCATGGTATATTTAAGACTTGACATTCTTTGGATTACTAGACCATTTTGATTTGCGATTTGTCAATTTCATATTTTGTGACTATATTTTTAAAAACAGTCAATATTATATAATGCAGTATTTTGTCCTAAATTATTTTTTCATTATGATCATATTCTGTCTTTATCAAAAAAGGGATTTCATAACTTGATATGCTCTTTCATTTTTGGACGCACTTGCATAGATGTTCATTTTGACCCAGAAGACCATAATGAATAGGTTTTTGACTGATTTTGGTCTCATTTCTTTAAAAGGCAGTCATGTAAAATCTGCCCAAAATCCATGGAATTTTTTTGTTGTGAAATAAGATGGCCCTGTCTGAAAGATCATATCAAAATAATCTGCAAAAATTGGCAGGAAATAAAAATGTCACTCATAAACTTGTTAGTTGGCAGATTATTTTATCCAGTGACATTACATTGCAGTCAAGTTATAAACCAAGCTCTTCTGTTTTATCTACAAGAATGATTATTTAGTTTATTTATTTATTATTGTATTTGGGAAGTAAACAGATGATTGAAACATTTACACATTTGCGTATTCCCTCCTTTATGCATTCATTTTTAGGTCTTTAATTTTAGGGTCAACTAGCTTATCCAGCAAGACCTCACTGAAAACCAGTAAGATTTTGCATGCTTAAACTGGTTTACCAGCTCGACCAGCACCCAAACCAGCATTAACCAGCAAAGTCGAAGATGTTCTTTTCAGCAGAGTATCACATTCTGCTACACCCTGATCTCATTGTCAGCTGCTGGATATAGCAGATAAAAGTGCTACTCTCACTTGGCCTCTGTTTTTCTCCTGCGTTATTGTACTGTCATTTTTCGAGGCCTCGCCGACTGCAGCACACCGAGGTCAGTGGAGAATAAAAGCGAGCTATTTTTGAGTATTCTGAACGGGCGTACAGTATTCAGAGGAGCCTTTCAACTTCTCATTCGGATGCGGAGCTCACAGTAGTGCCGAGCTCTTTTGATGTTGGGGCAGAGCTTTGCATTCCTCTCGTCTAAAACTGGTTTGTCGTTCCAGGTGGGCCTTCACCTTGATCATCATCTCTTCCTACACAGCCAACTTGGCGGCCTTTCTCACTGTGCAGAGGATGGAGGTGCCCATCGAGTCCGTGGACGATCTGGCTGACCAAACGGCCATCGAATACGGCACCATGCACGGCGGGTCCACCATGACCTTCTTCCAGGTGAGATCTCCAAGGACAAAACGGAAGGAAACTCCACCCACAAATCAATGGCATGTCGGCAGGTTTATTGACCATGTCGCTAGTGCTCTTCCCTACTTTGGGATTTATCTGTTTGCTGTCTTAATATCATTGCCCTTCGATATCTTGCCCTCTCCAGAGGGCCGTCCCAGACTAATTCAAACTCTTTGATGTGTCAGAAGGACGCTTCTCGACCCGCCCCTCAGCGAGCACAGACTGTTTCACATATTCAGTTGTCACATCAACATGTCAAACTGTCAGCTTATCAACCGCCAAGTCCTTGGTTAACACAATCAGTCTCACCTCCTCAAAGCCTTAGTGATTGGCTGTCAGGACACCAGACGAAAGTTGAGGAGCAAACGTAACGATTCTAATATCTCCTGTTTTCCGTTTAGAACTCCCGCTACCAGACGTACCAACGCATGTGGAACTTCATGTACTCCAAGCAGCCCAGTGTGTTCGTGAAGAGCACTGAGGAGGGCATCGCCCGAGTGCTCAACTCCAATTATGCCTACCTGCTGGAGAGCACCATGAACGAGTACTACCGCCAGCGCAACTGCAACCTCACCCAGATCGGAGGCCTGCTGGACACCAAGGGCTATGGCATTGGCATGCCTCTGGGTGAGAAAGAGTTCCTGTTAGAGAGACAACAATTAATAGAGGTTTATGTGGAGTTAGCAGGACTTTTACTGATTCAAATGCAACTCATCCAGAGTGCAAAAGAAATGTAGCAAGGAATCTCACACAGATCATCTCTTGTCAGATTGTATGATGTGATCTCAGTGAGATCTTGTGTAGAAGCCAGGGCAGACTGCGACGTCAATGGCCATTTATGCTACTGAACGATACACAACTTTGGTCAAGATTGACAGCGTTGACTGGTAGATCAATCGTGTCACACTCTGACATACTCATTAACATGCAAAATGGTACCACACACCCAGGCAAACCCTTGCACTAATGTTTATGTTTTACCTGAAAGAAAAGAAAATGTCTAAAAGTCTGTGGAGGCAAAAAAAGCTAATTTACCAAAAGAAACTTGATGTAGTTTAATCATAACATAAAGGAAGTGCTAAATGGCTCTTATAACATTTAAATGAAAGGGTTAGTTCACCCAAAAAATAAAATTCTGTCATTAATTACTCACCCTCCTGTCGTTCCAAACCCATAAGTCCTTCGTTCATCTTCAGAACACAAATTAAGATATTTTTGATTAAATCCGAGAGCTTTCAGACCCTGCATAGACAGCAACGCAACTGAAACATTCAAGGGCCAGAAAGGTAGTAAGGACATTGTTAAAATAGTCCATGTGACTTTATTCAACAATTTCTTCTCTTCTGTGTCAGTCTTTGACGTGTTCACGTGAAAAAAAGTGACATTACATGCTTCATGGTACTGTCGTGAATGTGCGTCGAAGACTAACAAGGAAGAGGATACATTTTTGAATTGAATGAAGTCATTATTTTAATTGTCTTTGTGCACAAAAAGTATCCTCGTAGCTTCATAAAATTATGTTTGAACCACTGATGTCACATGGACTATTTTAACAATGTCCTTACTACCTTTCTGGGTCATGAACGTGGTAGTTCCGTTGCTGTCTCTGCAGGGTCAGAAAGCTCTCAGGTTTCATCAGAAATATCTTAATTTGTGTTCCGAAGATGAAAGAAGGTCTTACGGGTTTGGAGCGACATGAGAGTGAGTAACGAATGACAGAACTTTCAATTTTGGGTGAACTATCCCTTTTATTTTATTTTATTATTTATATATACACTAGCATTCAAAACTTTGAGGTCAGTAAGATTTTTTTTAATGTTTTTAAAAGTTGTCTCTTATTTATGGCCTTCAAAGCTGCATTTATTTGATCAAAAATACAGTACAAATAATATTGTAAAATATTGTAATATTGTCATCACTTGCAGGCATTGCAGCAACAGTCACACTTTACAATAGCAACCTAAAAACTGTCAGAACTTCACCTGATGCGTTGACTAATTGGCCATCAGCGAGCATCTGACAGTAAGCTATCCAAGGCTGCCAGTCTTGTCCTATAATGATAGAAATCTTTTATATTCACCAAAAATCTGTCTCAGATGGCAAAGCCATAGACAAAATAGCACAGTGCACACCAGGCTTTAATCATATAACTGAAGTTAAATTAATCCATTGACTGAATATAAACTGCACTGAATTCATTTGAACCAAGCTATGTCCAGCAGATGTTTTAATCAACATGATTGATGGCAGGGTTTACAATAAGCTAAATGAGCACCATTAGAGCGGCAGGAGTCAGCACAGCAGAAAGCATACATCCAGCTCTGGCTCTCTAAGATGGATATTTTGTTTCAGGCTCGGTCTACAGAGATGAGTTTGACCTGGCCATACTCAAACTACAGGAGGAAAACCGCTTAGAGATCCTGAAGAGGAAATGGTGGGATGGTGGCAAGTGTCCAAAAGAGGAGGATCATCGAGCGAAAGGTGAATCACTTGTCACTCAACTGCAGGTCCAAACAGAATCTTTTAGGAAACATTTATCATATTGTGTGTTTTTGTGAAGGTCTGGGCATGGAGAACATCGGTGGGATCTTCGTGGTGCTTGTGTGTGGTCTTCTGGTGGCCATCTTCATGGCGGTGCTGGAGTTTGTGTGGATGCTGCGTCATACGCCAGCAACAGAGGTGAGAGAGGGCTATTTTACCTGCCTCTGCTTTCTGTCCTTCTCCCCGCCCTCGCGCCTCCCTCCCTGAACCCCCCACACCCCATCCCGCACCTCACCACCAGCACACCAAAGAATATACCTCAAACTGATCTACACAGGCCATCACACGCTAAAGGTGCCAGATGCTTTTAGATTATATGCTTTTTAATGTTTGAATGGAATGAAGTTCCTTCTTTTTTGTCTTTTTTTTCCCTCCCTGAATCAAATCGATGGTTGTGTGACTGCATTGTTTCAAATGAAGCATTGTGATTTTTTTACTAAATAAACACTTCAGCATGTTTCAGTAGAACCCCAAGACGTGACTTTTTTTGGAGGGTGCAAATGCATGCTGTGTTTGTTTATAATGTCTTCATGACTTAGTTGTGATTGCCCATATTCATAGACTGAGCATTGTGGGTAAATATTCAAAGAAGAATGATGTTTGTGTTTGTCTATATATTATGTGGGTGTGTTTGAAGTAAAGCTAAACTAAATGCTAATTGAAAACTGCTTGGGAATATGGGTGTTTGTGTGATTGTGTTTGTATTGTATATCTCAACATCAAGTCAAAATGACTAGTGCAGTGCAGTTTAGCCCATTTTTGATAAGTAGAGTGAATATTTGCATTATCCCTAAGGGAAATATAGCTTTGTGTGTTAGCATTAGGTAATGCTAATAGTGTGTCTGTGTTTGTTTATGTGTGTGTGAGGTGCATTTCTGCATGTAAGTGTATATTCAGCGCCTTAAACCGCACTGGCATGGCTCATCATCCAATAGTAACAACTAGTGTACATATCTTACCGCCATACCACATTGGTCCAACACCAAGATGGCCCCTCCAATTAAATGTCTACTACACAGAATCGCATTGTTTGTATGCAGTGCCTTTTCAACCTCACGACATGACAAAAAATTGATTGGATCATATTTTTGTTTTTACCTTTGCATCATATGTATGTATGAATGTATGTGATGTTTATCTTATATAGACCTTAGGCAAGGTAGCACCATATTAAATTTGACAACATTGACAAGAATGAAAACAAGGCTGTGAGGAACTGAAGTACAGTGTGTTCAATGGACTGTACTGTTGTTTAACAACATACCGACTGTTCAGCTGACAACACATCTTTCCGCTAACTCCATAAAAGAGTTTTAAAAGTTGTTAGTTGTGAAATGCATGTAAACTAGGACCTTTCTACAGTGCGTGCCTTTGTATAAACTGCAAGTCTATCCCTCACAACCTTGCTTTCCTTAAATATGGTGTCTAACTTGACTAAGGTTAAATGTTCAGAAAACGGCACTGGATGAGCTTCAGCAGCTGAGTTCTAAATTTTATCAGCAAATATGTTATGTTTAAAAATTTAAAGCACATCACAACCATCTTTTTTTTGTTGTTGTTGTTGTAGCTTACAGTATATTCTTTACTTGTCACACAAAACCTTAAGTGTAAGAGCTAGTCAAAAATCCAGTTATTTCAATAAGAATCCATGCAATCTGAAGTTTGGATGAGGGTGATAGATTTCTCCACTCAGATTTTGCAACAGGTTTAAGTTGGTCACACGGATTCACTGCATTGACCAATAGAAAGCTGCTTGGTTTGAAAGGCTCCACACAATGCTTCTCTATTGACAATAGACAATAGTGCTTAACAGACTCATCTTAACAGACTGTAACTGAACAGGGTATAAATTAAAAGGTAAATCCTTAGTGATATTGTTCTGAGGACTGATGAAATATGCATAGTATTTCCCTTGAAATTTGATGTCACCACAGGAAATTAGCGTTGGGAAAACCCTACTGAGTACAAAAGAAAAATACTACTGTAAAACAACCATTAAGAGAAATGAACGAAGATGATTTATTTAACAGCCCTTAATCGAAACTTTATTTTCATAATACTGTGCGATAATATTCCATTTATCATATATTCCACGGAATTCCATTAAGATGAAAAATTGCACCAGAGGACACAGGAAAACATGCCGCCTCTGTTCGTAAAGTGATTAAAAATATATATGCATACAAATAATCAGATTGTTTTGTGTAAACAATCATCAAAACTCATCGAAAATCCTCTTGGGAGCAATTTGAGCCCAATTTGTCAAAGCAAAAGGCATTGCATACAAATATATATTTTTTTTTTTTGTAATGCCAATCTAACAGAATACATTTAAAGATGTGAACTTGTTGAGAATGTAATGAGCACACACCGAGATCACCAGACGCTTCAGGATGTTTTCTCTGATTTCTCTGTGGTGCATCAGTCAGATAAACAGCCACCGCCCCCTGTATAGCCCAGTGTTATTTTTGATCAATGCTCTGGCTGTGCTGCCTGCCACCCCCTGCGAGCAGTGTGTCAGCGAGACCCCCTGGCCTCTCTTTCTCTCTCTTTCTCTCCCTCTGTCTCCGTGTCTGTGCCTCACAGCTGTCCGTGTGCGAGGAGATGCTACGAGAGCTGCAGGGCATCGTGCTGTGTCAGGACAGCCTGCAGTTACGGCGCAGGCGTGGAGCCAGCGTGTTGCGACCGCAGCCTCTGCCCCTGGACGAACGACGGGCGCGGGCAGCGGCGGCGAGCCTCAGCAATGGCAAGCTGTGCACGGGCACAGGCCTACCCGAACCCCTCTCCCACAGACTGGCGCAGGAGGCCGCCCTGGTGGCGCGAGGGTGCAGTCACATTCGCATCTGCCCGGAGTGCCGGCGCTTCCAGGGCATTCGAGTGCGCCCGGCCGGCCCTCCAGGAGCATCGCCCACCCACAGCGAGGAGAGTATAGAGTGGGAGAACCGCACCAACAACAGTGAACACGAATAACCTCTCGGATCTGTGGCGGATAGACATTAAACGACGGCTTTGCTGGACCCAGGGATTATGGGAACGTAGGCTCCGGGGAAGGAGCTAAAAGAGAAGCTGTCCATGCTGCTCGATTCGGCCCAGGAGCTGCATCTGGTTTCTGTACACTGTCCTTACAGCCCTCTGCTTTCGGGGGACACAGCAGAGGGGCTTTGTACTATGCAGTATATTTGTCTTACTGTGCTGTTGATTTATTTTTAAATTATTGCTCTTTTGTTGTGATACCACTATATTGCTATTATCTCCTTCTCACGACACCCGTTTAATTTGGTTTTTCACACCGTGGATGGCTGCAGACTGTGTCAACTACACGCAACCTTTTTTAGAGTGCCAAAATACTTTGTATTAATTCTGTGCTGTTGCCATCTCATTCCAGCCCCTGAAGGAGTAACTATTAAGAGAACTGAAGACAAAAACAACTACGCTCTGTTTTTATTAATAGTCATATTCTATTAAAAAGGTTTTTGGGATGTTTCTGAATGTTTGATGTGCATGTACGAGGGTTTTAGATGCTACTGAATGGAGAAGAACATGGGAATTATATTTTTTCTGGTTAAAGACACTTTCTATATTTTGCTTTTCATTCTTTTAAGTTTTGATTCATTTTGTTGCACTTCTCGGATATGAAAATTGCACATAGTTGTGGGAAAGTGGAAGATTATGCTCCCATTTAGGAAATTTGCATTGGGAAACTAACTAGAATTTATGCCAATTTCAATTCACCCTTATTTTTGCCGTTCCTGCAGGGCGCTTGGAGGTGTCAGATGTATTCACTTTCAAAAAAACATCTGGAAAGCGAGATCGGAGGTGATTTTGTTCATGTTGAGGTCTTACATTCATCTGTACCACTCAATACATGATGAAATCAACTACAGACAGGGTCACTCCATCTAGACATATCTGTGTGATGAGACATTGGAGATCATAGGCCTATATACATTCAGGTATTTCTTTATATTACATAACATCTCATAATGTTTCATGTTTATTTTCTTGTTTGAAACCAGAAACGTTCATTTGTTCATGTGACGTCTTGGATTCATACTTCTGTTGATCACCCACCTTTTAAAACTGAATTCAACCAGTCAGTTTTTCCAACGTACCACAGCTGAAGCAGAATTTGGATACCAAAATGAAATTATTTTATTAGGCATGATGTTACCCTCAACTTGCAGTGCCAAATTGTAATAAATTGCCTTCACGTTTTGGAGAGCCATTAGAGGTTACTTACAACCCATGTTGATTTTTTTTCTGTGCATTTCTATTGAACTGAATCCATTTCTACATGATATTTCAATACGGTGTTAGTGCCTGACAAAAATAAATGGCATTGTGTTCAGTTCTGTGAAAGGTTGGCTTTGTTCTTGAAGGTTTTGTCTCTTGGATCTGTCGGCCTTCTCTGTAAACATTTCTTTTTCTAGGTGCGCAAATAGAGCTCCATTCATTTCCTATTGCAGGCTGGAATGGCTGTGTGAGTGTGTGTGTTTCAGGCTCTGAAGAACAATGGCAAAGCTGTATGTGCAGGTGGGTTTTCGCTGGATACACAGACCTGCAGACAACTCTAATCGGGGCAACTTCAAGATGTGACACGTTTACTATGTGGGGCATGGCATCAGCTGCACATCTGCTTTAGATTCACAGAGGCACAAGCTGGTTTAAAGAATCAACAAACAAGCAAAAACATTTGGGAGACAATTACTGCTTGGAGTGACAACTGACTGTTTACACAAGAAGGTTAAAACAAGTAGTTTACAATTAGCATTTACAATTTGGGTAAAAGCAATGAAATATTCCCAAAAATGTATATGCAGCAATAATTCAGATCTGTCATAAGAATTGTAGCATCGTGCAAAAGTTATAAGCTTCTAATGTCATTGAAATGCTCAGTTTGCACTCAGACATGACTAGTTTATTCCATAATCCAAAGTGATCAATAATAGGAGGGTTAACAAGATAAAGAGAATAATATCTGGCTTGTCATGTGACCTCAAAATGGCTTACTAAGTACACTTTTGTGATTGCGTTATTAATTTCTCTTTACTAAATACTTCATATAAATATTTGGCTCAATGAAAACTTACCACCCAGTCTCATGAAAAAACAACAACAACTATTTGATGAGGTTGCAATGTAATTTATACAAAACTGATTTTTAGAAAGAAGCAAGCATGAAGGTCCATCTCTAAATATATGGGGTGTAAGCATATTATATGAAAACATGCAAATGAAATTGAACTAATTCATATAAATTAGCCACCAATTCGCCAAAATGTAACATTGCCATGAGATTGTTTTGGAGCTTTTGTGTTTGCCTCAATCCTGAGTATTTTCAAACTGAAGAAATATCTTCAACATCTGCAAATGTCTAAATGATGGAAACCCATTTAAGTTCCAGGGTTCAAACACTAAGTTGTCCAGCGCTATGATGGTTTGATAATAATGAGTGTGAATTGTTCAGAGACTGAAATGTTGGGGCTGAAGACAGGACTTATTAGTGAGACACGCAAAGCTCTCAGCCCAATCAGTCCGGATGCATTCCCGAGGGCAGAGCCTCTATCTCTCTCAGCATACTGCCCTTCTCCAGCCCATTTATTTCTTAATTCAGCTCTAACCTGTTTCCACAGAATGAAATTGCATCTCTAGCTTTAATTCCTTCTAGTGTCGCAACTGGTTTTTGTCCAACAGAAGGAAATTTGGCTTTTTTGCTGATTTACACTTAATGACATCACTAAATTAGATGTTGTGTGTTGTTGCGCTCCGAAATGTGTCAGACTGCAATTCAGGCACGTGTTGCATTTCCAGCGTTGTATGGGGCAGGGGCACCATAAACCTTAATCAGGGTATAGGGCCGTAATAATACTCAACAGGAATTAAATTGTTTTACATAGGCTACCAATTGTCCAGCTGATGAAATGTCTTTCCGAGACAAAAACACCTTAAAAAAGTTTTGAAAGTTAAGTGACATATAACCATTTATACATGCTATTGTAAAGACTTTAAGTCTATCACTCACAACCTTGTTTTCATCTGCACTAAATTCAATATGGCATCTAACCTATAAAATTGCCTTCTTTTGTGCTAGATGAACGTTGCTTGTGTCTTGTTTGCGTCTTGTGTTTTTAAAAACAAAAAAAATGCTTTCTGTGTGAATGGCCACAAAGTTAAGCCTACTTATAGCACTTGAATAACAACACATGTAATTTTATGTCAGAGGTATTTGAATGTTACGTTTTATGAATAGTGTTGGCTTGCCACATCTTAGTGATTTTCAGTTTCACAAATTATTTATTATCAAAGGCAGTATATTAAAACAGCCCGTTCTTCTAAAATGATACAATTTTCAATCTTTAAAAGGACACAATGCTGCTACAAATCTTTTTCAGATCACTGGTTTGTCGTCTACAGCAGCATTGATCTTAGACTCTTTTTAATGTTCTGAAACATAGTATCAAAGGTAAGTAACAGCATAGCTCAAAATGTTATTTCCCATTTTCGTTTTCACAGTGGAAGTGCTGTTAACATCCCTGTGAGTGCGGGTAGAGATAATGTCATGTTCATTTTGCCACCTTTTGTTCTCCAGCAGTGCTTAAATGAGTAGAACAACCGTCAGTCACATTACAGATTTAAGTGAAATAAAAGTCTTTGTTTGCTTTCTTCTGCTTTCATTAGAAAATGTCACTGTAGTGCCATGAGCTTTCCATGAATGTGAAATTTTTGTGACATAAAGGTCAGTTATTTATCATATAACTGCTTTAACACAATAATCTGTGTAATCAAGATTTTTGTATTGAGATGATGTTTGTAGAGCTTTTTCCAGACAGTCTCTCTCGGGGAATCTCACATCCGTAAATCAACAGCTGGCGTCTGTCAGGGGCATTAGAGCATTACTCTTGGACTCATACTAAGAACACAACAGGTAAACATCCTACACATTCTTTGGGGGGGGGGCATTAAAGGGTTATTACATTATTTTAGTAAAATCATTTTTAAATTTGATCAACTTAAACGTGAAAACGCTGTGCAAATTGGAATAGCGACAGAAAATTAGACCAACAGAGACACCTGCTGGAGACAGAATGAACTGCACTGTCTGTTGTAAACGGTGTGGATCACAGGACTTCTGTAAGCAGAGTTATTCTATCATTTTAACATAATTATACAAAGTTCATACACCAAACAATAATAAAAAAAAAAATTATGTCGGTAATAAATTCTGCCTTCATTTATTACCGACCTCACAAAAGGGGTTTTAATGTCCACATGTTTACATCTCTTGTCTCTACACAGGATTTTTTGCTAAGGCTATCATGGCACCCTGATTGTCTTCATAGACCTTAGACTCATAGTTCAGACCATCAATGTTTTGTAGTAATTGCTCTAGGTCAGGGATCCTCAAATCTGGCCCACGAGATCCACTTTCCTGCAGAGTTTAGCTCTAACCCTAATCAAACACACCTGAGCATGCTAATCAATGTCTTCAGGATCATTAGAAAATCACAGGTAGCTGAGTTTGATCAGGGTTGGAGCTAAACTCTGCAGCGCATTGGACCTCCAGGGTAAGATTTGAGGAACCCTGCTCTAGGTACAAGCAGTCCTGTACAGTCACAGACAACGCCATATATTCAGCCTCACAAGTGGACAGTGCAACAGTAGGCTGTCTTTTGGTCTTCCATTCTATGCAGTAACCTGTAGTACTCTGCCTATCCGTTACATCAGCTGCCCAGTTTGAATCATAAAACACTTGTAGGATAATTCTGTATGGATGAGTTGTTTAAACGGAAATTCAGTCTGCTTGTTTCATAAATAAGGCCAAAACACAAGTTGGCCTATAAACACAATGATTAAACTGCTTCATCAAATTATGCTAATATCAGTTATGGTAATTCAAAATGTAAACAATATTCACTTTAGGGTAAATTAACTGTAAAATGAATGTCCTGAGTCTTAATTTTCGAACTGAATTCATAACCTTCTACCCAATGTGAAACTAATTTTAAAAGTCACTAATTTCAATTAAAGTCAGCTTGACCTTTTTATGGTGAAGTGATGACAGTGCCTTTTGTTGTTGTTGTTGTGTTGTTTTCAGATCAACTTTCAGATCAACATTTAAACCTCAGCTGAAGTTGATAGTGCTACAAGCTAGCACTGTTCCCAAACCCGTATAACTGAATATATGAATATCTTCAATTAGTCAGAAAGATTTTCTAATGTTTTTGAAAGAGGTATCTTATTCTAACCAAGGCTGCGTTTTTTTAAAATCAAAATACAGTAAAACAGTGATGTTGTAAAATATAGTGACAAGTGAAATCGACTGTTTTCTATTTGAATATATTTTCAAATGTAATTTATTCCTGTGATGCCAAAGCTGAATTTTCAGCAGCCATTACTCGAGTCTTCAGTTTCACTTCAGATCAACATTTAAACCTCAGTTGAAGTTGATAGTGCTACAAGCTAGCACTGTTCCCAAACCCGTATAACTGAATATATGAATATCTTCAATTAGTGAGAAAGATTTTCTAATGTTTTTGAAAGAGGTATCTTATTCTAATCAAGGCTGCGTTTTTTTAAATCAAAATACAGTAAAACAGTGATGTTGTAAAATATAGTGACAAGTGAAATCGACTGTTTTCTATTTGAATATATTTTCAAATGTAATTTATTCCTGTGATGCCAAAGCTGAATTTTCAGCAGCCATTACTCGAGTCTTCAGTTTCACATGATCCTTCATTCTAATATGCTGATTTGCTGCTCCAAAAAAAAAAAAAAACATTTATCATCAGTTGAAAACTTTTTTTGTGGAAACTGTAATACTTTTTTTCAGGATTCTTTGATGAATAGAAAGTTCAAAGGAACATTTTGAAACATTATAAATCTCTTTACAGTCACTTTTGATCAATTTAATGCATCCTTACTAACTAAAACTACTAATTACTTTAAAAGAAAGTACCGACCCGTACTATATAGGAGTTTGAAAACTGGTTTATGCAATATATGTGCAATTGCTCAGATGTCAAAGGTCAGATGTCTTGGTCCTGCTCCTGTTCTGTTCACAGTGCTCAACCGAAGGTGTCCTCATATGTGAAGCGGGTTTAACCCAAAGTCTCTGAGCGTGTCCTTGACTTCCTGATGAATGTCTGTGCTCTGTTCTTCCCACTGCAACCGCGTCTCGACCAGGTGAGAGAGCAAACTGTCCAGACAGCCCTGTATCAGGCCAATAGGCACCAATTATTAAAAACGTACTCAATTTAAGATGAAAAGTAGCTAATTAAATGGGTATGTATCGCCATCTGGCATGAGCATTTAGAGGTGCAGATGGCCTCTACTATGCTAAAATACTAAATGCTGAAATGGATAACCTTGTGGATGGCAATTAGATGTGTTAACACTTTAATTAACAGTCAGTTCAATTTGTTTTACTATAGCATTAATTATACCTCATTTCGTTGAGGTAGATTAGTCTGTCACGCTTTGAAATGTCACCAAGCAATTTAAGCTAAGCCTTGTGTAATGCTGATCAAATATGTCATCCATTCAAGCATCTAATATATATTTTGACAGAGCACTGATATTTCACTTAATCACTTATAGAGCCGTGACTCTGACTTACGTGCAGGATCTTCTCACACTCTCTCTCCATACTATCCAGTTTGCTTTGGAGGTCAGAGATGATGGCGTCTTTCTCTGCTTCTGTCTTCTCTCGCTGCTCTCTTTCCGATTTTAATTTAACCTGACATTCGGCTAATCAAACAGAGGCCTTGTTTGTCATCAGCATGTGATTGGAGAGCATGTGGAGAGCACACACTGCCTATGATAAGCACGAGAATTTGAATGTGTTAATGCTTGAACTTACCGAGCTGCGTCTCAAGCAAATCTACACTCACTTCAAGCCTGTTTACTTTAGTCTGCAGGTCTGTTTCCATGGACTCATATTGGCGGTTGAGATCTGAAATCAAGTTTGTGTAGAATACAATACATATTGTGTTAGAAATCAATGATAAAACTTTACTAAAATATACATTTACATAAGTCATAAAGAGGTGAGTAACATTATTATATAATGACATTTATAATGTTTTGTGATTTGGAATTAAATCTAATCTTTATCAAATCTATAAAAGATTTCTATTTCAAATAAAATCTTGTTCTTTTGATCTTTCTATTTATCAGAGAATCCTGAAAAAATAAATAATTTTGGTTTGCACAAAAATATTAAGTTATTTTCAACATTATAATTGTTTATATGAAATATGATTATAATATTAAATGTTTCTTGAACAACAAATCAGCATATTAGAATGACTTTTGAAGAAACTAACACTTTTATTTAGCAAGTAAGCATTAAATTAATCAAAAGTGACAGTAAAGATATTTACAGTATAGCGTTAAAATTTTTCCATTTCAAATAAATGCTGTTCTCTTAAACTTTCTCCCAAAAAAAATCTCTCTCTCTCTCTCTCTATATATATATATTTATAAATAATATTGATAATAATAAAATGATTCTTGATGATTTCTGAACAATGATGTGACACTGAAGACTGAAGTAATGACTGATGAAAATTCAAATTACATTTTTAAATATATCTTTGTAATAATATTTCACAATATAACAGTTTTTACTGTATTTTTATTCAAATAAATGCTTCTTTCTTTCAATCCAAACTTTCATTTTGAATTTTAGGACCTGCTGTGGATCAAATAATCATGTGATTTAAAAAAAAAAAATAAACTAAAGTCCATTAGGTGTCTTCAGAAATATTGAGCAAGTTTATGAAATAATGAAGTCTATGAAACTGCCTATAACTTAATTTTATCTATGTTAGAAATAAAGATTTTTCAGTATCACCAGGATCTGTGGGGAAGCTTCAAGATATTAATTAAGTGAAACCTTTTGAGACATAAAGTGTCTGTTTGGATAAAAGCAAACATTTTGTTCTGTAGACTGCAACATGCACTTTCATTTTCATTCAAGTATTTCCAAAACAATACAGCATAAAACATGAGTGTTATGGCGTGCACATTGTTTCATGCAGGTGTGCTATATCAATAAACCTGGAATAAAGAAATAGACTTTATACAGACCTGTAGTGATGTCCTTCATGTCTGATCGTTCCTGCCTGAGCACCTGCTCCAGATCTCTGATTTGACTTTTCAAGTCATCTCTCACTGCTGTGGCCTGACGCGTTATACTGGTCCTCAGAGCTGATGAGATTTGTAGAGAAGTTCCTTTCTTAATGTTTTAATAGAACTGGACATCAGCAAACAGACAACAACTCCTAGAACAGGCCAATTGAATATTTGCCTTACCAAGATGTTCTTTTAAAACAGCCACGTCTAAGGCACTTCTCCGATACTTCTCTGTAAGTCCATCATCTGTATGATTAGGGAAAAAAAGGGAAATATATCACGTCAATAAAATAGGGGCTACTGTTGTTAAGTAGCTCCTACATTATTTTGTGTTTATAAAATATAATGTTATAGTTTATAGAAAAACACCTTTTTCTGGTGTGCTCTTTTTGGACTTGTCCTTTTTGCTGTTTCCTTTCCCTTTCTTTTTTGGTGGCATGGTGTAAAGATTCTAGATCTGCTTGTTTCGAACTGAAGGAAAAGGTTCATTGTGTCTGTATTGTGTATACAGAGCCGCCTGGCAGCGTGGGCGTGGTTATAGAGAGACGTTAGCCAATCACCTCTCCAGAATGCCAATTACAGTTGCTCTACGTATCCGCATTGCACTACGTTACCGGCTCGTTGCCTGGAAGTGTGCATAGTTGCTAAGCGCGTCGTTTTGTTTTATGGACAATAAAGTCTTTTGAGGTATTTCTGAATTGCTTATATTCTTTAAAGAGAATCTCACTATTTCATTTTTAAGTACAGGACGTGGAGCTCTGTTGAGGCAACTCTTATTCACAAGTTTTTACTTTTCTTTCAATTTCGTTTTTGGATACTTGTAAAGCGAATATGAACTAAAATGATAAGAAATGATCAGCGAATCAAGCATCATATATTAGACCAATTCGTAAAATGTGTAAAAAATAAATCTGCATAATGAATCTCTTTAACCCGGAGGGCGGCGAAAGCACGCTACTTCTGCAAATACTTTGCTCATGAATATTAACTACGCCATTGCTTACGTTGCTTGGTAACCTTCCTAGTGCTCCGGTTACGTGCCTTATTTAATATTCATTAGTCGTGTTTTTCACCATAGTAGGATTCGTATATTCGCAAGAGGAGCAAAAACGGAGGCGGAGAAAATGTGAGACATGAATGAGGGCGAGGTCTTACAGGCGGAACAGGAAGCGGGGGGTCGAAGGCGGTGTTTATTTCCCGAACTGGTTTATTTATCTTATTTTAATACGATATTATTTCGCGATCTAATATTGCATTTTCATATGGAGAAAGACAATCTGTGCTGGGTTTATAATAGACGTGAGTGATCGCTTTTTGCTTGCAAGGGCTCTTGACTTGCTCAGCCTGAACTTCCCGTTGCAAAAGTAGTGATGGGAAGTCCGATTCATTTCAGCGAATCGATTCTTTCGGACAGATCCCCTCAAAGAACCGATTCAACTATTTTTGTACGTCACTTCGCTATTAGGTCATCACGTGGTCCCTAAACACACAGGCTTTGAAACTTTCCTATATTTCTTTGTAGGTTTTTATTTTCTCTTTTAAAAAATATTTACTCTATATTACTCTAGAAAAATACAAAATAATAATTTTCTTAGATTTTTTTGTTCAACACATTGTTATTCTCTATTTGCAAGTGATTCTTGTAATGTTTTTTGATTAATATTACTGTTAACTAAATCAAAGTTGTATATAGTCATAGGTTTGTTGTGTTTATGTTTTGATTGTGTTTATTGTAATTTCATGTGTCATTTTCATGTGATTATTGTAGCAATGATTATGATCATATAACTCATTTACAGACAGGGAAAGATTGCAGAAAAAAGTTTTTTTGTTTAGTTTTTTTTTAGGATGAAGTTAAATAGTTACTAAAGAGATGAGTTTTCAGCTGTCGCTTGAAAATTGTCAGGGTCAGCTTTCCGGATAGGGGTTGGAAGACCATTCCAATTCGATCTTAAATATAGTATGCACGTATTATTACCCCATACTGATTTAATATTACCTGTTAAACTATTTCAGTCCGACCAGTTTTATGAACAGATTCATTCAAAAGATCCGAACCAGTTGATTCATTAAAAGATCCGATTCAAATGAACAATTCGATCACGAATCGGACATCGCTCTGCAGAAGCGCACAGATAGAGAAAGAGAGAGCTGCAGGAAAAGGGAACATCACGCACGGGGTGTCGATGTGAAAGCAGTTGTTCCTCCACGTCCAGACACCCATCAAAACCTATTTTTACGCGTTGTTTTTAACGGGATCCGCCGCACTAGTCGAGCGTATACAACACAGCGTGAAACGGTGGTTTTCTGCACGGGGGATTTAATGGGAGTCTTGCATCGATAAAGCGCTCCCCCCCCCCCCCCCCCCCCCCCCCCCCCCCCCCTTGACGGACCCTCGCTCGAACCGGACTCGGGCGCTGTCCTCACCGGGGGGTATCCGATCCCAGTTATATTTTGACTAGGTAAAGACCACTCCGGACTCCGAATATGGCAGGAAATCTGAAGAAAGGTGGGGGGCTTATTGGCATGATGAAGGACGCTTTTCAGCCTCACCATCATCTCCACCACTCCCATCACCAGCCCGGGGCCGTGGACAAAAAGACGGTGGAGAAATGCTGGAAATGCATGGATAAGGTGGGTGGCTATTAATCAAAACACAAAAGAAAGATACCAGAGAGAGACGCTGTAGCTAGCAGCTTCGGTCTCTTGTTAGCTTAGCCGGATGGCCTGCACGGAGGAGTCCTAATGCAATATGGCAGGGCAGCTCTGCTAAGGCAATTAGCTCAATGGTTTGCAGGCTAAAAAACTATATTCAGCTGGCCAAATACTCTGGGAATATCTCGTTTTAGAGAGTAGGTCATTTGCCGTACTCGTACACCACAGCTTGCCTAGTAGGACTCGTGAATGTGGTACAGGGTCCTGTGCTAGTTGTGCTAGCTTTAATAGCTTGTGGCATTTCTTTAACTGGTAACGTTAACGTTAAATATTGTTTATATGGTAAGGCGACTAGGAATGGTTTGGCCATATCTCTTCAAAAGTGACTCCTTCAGGATGCTCAAATGACCAGCGTGGAAATCCCAAAGTTGGTTAAGCAACCAGTGTGTGACGTTACTGATCTTGTTGCTGGTCAGTCGGTTGGTTAAATTGCGTTTACTCCGTGTAGACGTGGATAGTGGGCAGTTGTTGGATTGATCTGCTCTTTCAAACCACTGCTCTTGTTCCTGTTTCTATGTAGATTTTTTGGGATAAACAGGAAGTGTCATATCACTTTTTTTTCACTTGGAATCTGTTTTAAGTGAAATATAAACTGTTGTGTCCCAAGCGTATGAAGCTAAATATGCAGCTTTATTAAAAGCTAGTTGTTTTGAGATTTAATGCAGATCTAAGTAGGGTTGATCTTATGATCAGGTATGGATGTAGCTGCTAGGCACAGAGTCCTTACTTCACACCTGATTAACCTTATAAAGCCTACTGTATCATTTGATATGTGCATTTCTAAGAATTCTAAATTATCAACATGATCAAAACAACACACAATCTGCTACATGCCTTCTGCCCTCTGATTGATAGTTCATACCTTTTTTGCAAGAAAAAAGCCTTTGTCAAATTGTAATGATGTCCACCTTCAGGTTGTTCAGCTTTTTTTATGAAGTAAACACAAGAATAACTTCTATATTGTTAATATTTTAAAATGAACATTTAATGGACTGAAGCAACTCAGCATTTTATGTAGCCTAAATGCTCTTCTATACTATTATAAAGATCTGTTATTGATGTAGATTACTATACAACAGAATTTCAGAATTTGGCAATAGATAACAGCAGCTGCACCAAATTTCATATTTTTCCTCAGTTCATGCCTTTGAATAACGTTGAGGTATTTTCTTCAAGTGTGAGCACCATATTCTCATTATATCATACTATGAGCTATAAAAAAAAACTAATGTAAAACGCATATGCAACTTTTTATTATTATTTTTTAGATTTAAAAAAATAAAATAAAATTTACACTGTAAATATACTTTCAATAAAGTGTTCCACTTCAAAGAAAGATATTTTTCATATCTCAGACTATACAGAGTTAATATACTAAGTAATGAACTAAGAATTTAATCAACTGACAGAGAATCTTTTTCCAGCTTGTCTAGTAAAACTTTAAAACTTAAACCGTTTATGTGAACATCTGTCTACCAGAGTGGTTTTCTTTTGTTGAATTTGCTGCCTCACAATACGAAAGTTAAAGCTGCAGTTCATGGAAAAAAGTTGTGGTTACTGACCTCACACTTCCTGTGATCTTCACACTGATACGTGAGCAAAACGGTGCATCTGTCACGGGGGGCTTATTTTAAACTTATCCTGTTGATGCTAGATACTAAAGATGGCTTTTAATTTACATTTTGAGATGCTTGTTACAAAGGAAGACTATTTAATTTTTACAGAGAAGAGCAGATAATGCTTGCTGATTGATAACTTTGCAACTTCCTATTTGTTTAGTTTCACACTGGGTAGTTTGGTTAGTGCACATGTGACATATCACATTGCCTTCATAAGTGAATCTCTCTGTTTTTGCAACATAGCATTGTAAATTTCCACTTTATGTTAAGTCTGCTGACTTAGATTATAAAACCTTTAAATGATTTATTATGAACATCACGATCAGTGATTCAGGAAATGTGACATTAGGAGAAGTTCCACTTGCAAAACAGTATTTTCTGAAAGAAATGTTTCTTCATATGGCAAACTTTTAAGGTTATCATGACTTTGCTATTTATTATCCAAAGTTAACAGTTTCGTGTTATCCATTTAGTTATATTCTGTAAATCCTCTGTAAATATTCAACCTCTTACCAAATACACAAGAACACAAGTTGTGCTTGTTCCCTGTGAATCTTAACATGCAAAAACATAGTCAAAAACTAATATAGAAGTTCTGTATTTGACTATGGGTTTTCCCCGTGTATGCATCTGTTGTTCACACCATATTTACAAACACAAATTATCTACACATTAGTCTCCTCATAAGGTTTAGTAATCATTAAACTACATGTCAATTGTAGTTGTTGTTGACTGTATATTTGCATACTTTGATAAGGTTGTTCTTATACTATGAATGCAGATTTAACACTCTAAATGGCACTATTCCATTTTTTGAGTGCGTTATTGCATTGGTGCATTTTAAATTATGTCTATTTTAATCGAATTCCTGGTATAGTTTCTCATACTTGAAGCCAAGCGGACTTTTCTCCGCACTTTCGTATTATTATTCTGAATTCAGGTTATCGCTGGAAGCCCTAATGAACACACGTCTGCATGTGAACACGTAGATGTATGCATGTTTGCTGATAATTCTCGGGACGTCCTGTCGCCACAGTCTTATCTTTTAGCTGTCAGGACTGGGGGTGCATGAGATCCAGAAGCTTTGGAGCACAAGTCAGACTGGATGGTGACAGCCCCCCACCCCCCAATCACAGCTGGTCCTGTGCTGAAGACAAAATAGAT